TAAACCCAGGTTGGTTGCATGCAAAGCAAGCAGTCTTCCTACTATATTGTAGTATAGCTCTAGCCTCAGGAGAAATTTTTTAGCTGTTTTTGGTACTGCAGAGTGGGCGAAAGTTTGTCCAAGCAACTCAGATTTGTCCAGATATTTTGATGAATGATGGTACAGATTTATTTGGAGACTTGCAGATTAAGGAGGTAACAAATACATGTAAGGGTTGTATTATTTTTTCCAACTTCCTCAGATAACATTAAAATCAAGAGACTGTCTGGGTTCATATCATACATTCCAATGTAGGTGGCTGAAATATAACAGGTTATTGGGGAGCTTTAGCATCTGTCCAGCCTGAAAGGTATTTAGTGTTAAGATTAGGTATGTAATTACTGTTAGGTTTTCATATTGGAAACCTATTTGTTACCAGTTGCATTTAAAATTTTCTTTTAAAGCTCATATTTAACTGTTTTTAAAAGGAAATGAGCGGGGACTGGAGTGATAGCACAGCGGGTAGGGCGTTTTGCCTTGCATGCGGCCGACCCAGGTTTGACTCCCAGCATCCCATATGGACTCTCAAGCACCGCCAGGAGTGATTCCTGCATGCAGAGCCAGGAGTAACCCCTGTGCAATGTCCGGGTGTGACCCAAAAAAAAAAGCAAAAATAAATAAATAAAAGGAAATGAGCTTGCAACAAGAGACTTCCTCCAGATCAGCCTTGTTTCTGAAAGAATGGCAATATAACACCTGGGAAAAGGTATATGACAGTGTTACACATCATTTCAGCATCTCACTTCTCCGTTTTTAGCAGGTGTTAGTGTTCAGTAACTAGCCAACTATTCAGTGTGAAAATAAAACACTTATATAGTAGTAGATAAGTTTTGCAAAAGTTATAAATTTTTCATTAAATTGGTGAACTTTAAAGTTTTGGATTATAAGGCCAGGGATATAGCTCAAAGAGGTGGGTGGAGCATGTGTCCGCCATCTTTGAGAGATCCCGTGCTGGGTGCATGCTCACTTTCCATATTTTCCAACCACTGGGCCTGGAGCCACATAGCTCTTATACCCAAGCACTGACCTGACCAGGGAATAGCCTCTATTTAAAATTTATTAGGAATTCAAATTCATTGTAGAGTGTTTTGAAAGTGCAAAATCAGTCCAATCAGAGGGCACATATATAATACACGACCACATTTTGAAAATTTTAAGGCAAGTTTTATTTTTGGGTCACACCCAGTGGTGCTCAGGGCTGGCTCTGTGCTCCTGTTGGAGCTTAGACCTTATGTGGCACCTGGGATAGAGCTACGTTGGCTGCATGTAGGCAAGCACCCTACATGCTGTCCTAGCTCTAGCATGGTTTTCGCTTTTCAAATTTTTATTTGTTCTCGGTCCACACTTGGCAATGTTCAGGGCTTCCTCCTGGCTCTGCACTTAGCAGTCATTCCTGGTGGTGCTCTGGGGACCATGTGGGATGCCAGAGATTGAACTCAGGTGGGACACGTGCAAGGCAAGCACCTTATCCACTGCACTATTACTGGACTAATGCTCTGGCCCCCGTTTTAAACATGAAGAAATTGGTGTTTCCCTTACTATTAAAGATGATAGAAGAATTTTAGTATTAGTAATAATTTATATTTGTTCAACTTCCTGATGGGTCAACATTATTGCTATTCCCAGTTTTTCTTGTGTATATATGCACATACACATATACGCTATAGTGTGTGTATACATATATATACATATATACATATACATATATGCATACAATAGATGGGATAAAGGTGCTTTTCTGCATGTTTGGGGGCCACATTCAGCTCTGCTCAGGGATCAGTCCTGATGGACTCGGGGAACCATATGGGGTGCTGGGGAACGATCCTGGGTCAGCTGTGTGCAAGGCAAATGCCCTACCCACTGTACTATCTCTTTGGCCCCAATGTGCACACTTAATTGTAATCACTTTTTTTTTTTTTTTTGCTTTTTGGGTCAGGGTTCCTCCTGGCTCTGCACTCAGGAATTACTCCTGGCGGTGCTCAGGGGACCATATGGCATGCTGGGAATCGAACCCGGGTTGGCCGCATGCAAGGCAAACGCCCTACCCGCTGTGCTATCACTCCAGCCCCTTAATCACTAATTCTTACAAATGGAACTGGAGCAATAGCACAGCAGGTAAGACGTTTGCCTTACACGCATCCGACCCAGGTTTGATTCCTCCATCCTTCTCGGAGAGCCCGGCAAGCTAGCAAGAGTATCTTACCCACATGGCAGAGCCTGACAAGCTCCCCGTGGCATATCTGATTGGCCAAAAAACAGTAATAAGTTTTGCAATGGAGACGTTACTGGTGCCCACTCTAGCAAATCGATGAACAACGGGAGGACAGTGCTACAGTGGACAGTACTACAATTCTTACAAATGGGACTATTAAGTAAAATGTTCTAAGGTACTGTTAACACATTGCTGGAATGCTCTATAGAAGTATTAACCAGTTTGAAGTTCCACTTGGTAAGCTTATAAAACATTTGAGTTATAGGTCCGGAGAGCACCACTGCCTGAGCGCATGCCTTGCACTCAGATCCGGCCACTGCATTGTTCTCCTGAGCACTGCTGTATGTGGCCCTAAAATTCAAGCTAAGACCAAAGCTTCAAACTCCAGATAACTGTGTCCTTACAAAATAGATGTTTATTAAATTTTTTAAAGTTGTATATAGAGGGTTGGAGCAGTAGTTGAGCAAGTAGGGCGTTTCCCTTGCACACAGTACACAGCCAACCTAGCATTTCAATTACCAGCATACCATATGATTCCCTGAGCACCACCGGGGTGATTCCTGAGCTCAGAGCCGGAACACTGCTGGTGTGGCCAAAAAATGAATAAATAAATAAAAACCGTAGTATATAAAAAACAAGTATAAAAAATGAATTATTAATGGACTTCATTCCAACTACTGTTTTTATGCATAATCAAATTTAAATTTTTAAAAGTGGACTTTTTCACTTGAATTTAACAAGAGTACAAGATAAAAGTGAAATAATGTTGAACTTTAAAACTTTTTCCCGGGGCTGGAGCAATAGCACAGTGGGTTGGGCGCTTGCCTTGCACACGGTCGACCCAGGTTCGATTCCCAGCATCCCATATGGTTCCCCGAGCACTGCCAGGAGTGATTACTGAGTGTATGAACCAGGAGTAACTCCTGTGCATTGCTGGATGTGACCCCAAAAAGGCAAAAATTAATAAATTAAAAAAAAAGACTTTTTCCCAAGAGAATCTCACATTCATTTAACATTGTAAAGTCTCATATTCACTATTACTCATTTTAAGCTGCTTTACCAACCTAGAACTTTGTTAGGCAACCAAGCCCCCCCCCCCCCCCCCCCCCCAGGTGGTTATATGCTTTTACAAAGCACTTGAATATTTGAAAGGTCTGTTCTTTTATTTGTTTAGTTTTGGGGCCATACCCAGTGTTCGGAGGCTACTCTTTCCTCGGGGGACCACATGTGCAATGCTGGTGTAAGAATCTTTAATTTTCTGTGCCCACTGGCCCTCTTATTTTTTAAAAGACAGCTTTGGCTGCATATTAACTTCCTGGCAGTTTACCTGACCTTCATTATCTTCTGAAATTACGTGACTAACCAGTATTTCTCAGACCAAGAGATACCTCCCCTATCAGTGGAGGAATCCCTTCCGTTGGAGAACAGGAACTCTTGCAGGCACCTTTGCTTAACGGTTTGATTTCTAGCGGGTGCTGAGTGTAGTTCTCCTGAAAAGGGGACAGAGGTTCCAGAATTTCTAGGTGGGTTTCCTGTTTTCTACATAACTTCTCTGCTTGCATTCACAGAATGTTTTAAATTAAGTGTCCTGATTATTTCAGAGAATTTTTCTTTTTGTCCTTTGGGATCACACCCAGCGATGCTCAGGCATTCCTAGCTCTGAACTCAGGAATTTCTTCTGGTGGTGCTCAGGGGACCATATGGGATGCCAGGGGTTCACTCGGGTCAGCTGCATGCAAGACAAATGCGCTCTGTCCCTCAGAGAATTTGTCTTTTTGGCCATTCCTGGCCTTGACCATTTTTGTTTCCTTTTTTTTTTTATTACTGAAACACCATGAGGTACAGTTTCAGACTTACAAATTTTTGTGCTTGGGTTTCAGTTATACAGTGATCAAATACCCATCCCTCCACCAGTGCCCATTTTCCACCACCACAGGTCCCAGTATCCCTCCCACCCCCATCCCCCCATCTCACCCTGCCTCCGGGGCAGGGCATTCCCTATTGTTTTCCTCTCCTTTTGGGTGCTGTGGTTTGCAAAAGAGGCATTGAGTGGCAATCATGTTTGGTCTATGTCTACTTTCTGCCATCCTGGGAGGATCCTCCCAACACCCTTTATTTGGTGTTCCCTTCTCTATCTGAGCTCCCTTTTCCCCTAGCACGTGTGGCTGGCCTCCAAGTCATGGAGCAAAATTCCTGGTACTAATCTCGGCCACTCTTGGGTGTCAGTCTCCTACTTTGTTACTTTATGTTCCCCAGATGAATGCAATCTTTCTGTGACCTTAACCATTTTTGACCTTTTTGACCATTGCCTTGCACACGGCCAACCGGGGTTTGATTCCGCCATCCCTCTCAGAGAGCCTGACAAGCTACAGAGTATCCTGCCCACACGGCAGAGCCTGGCAAGCTCCCCATGGCATATTTGATATGCCAAAAACAATAACATCACAGTGGAGACGTTACTGGTGCCTGCTCGAACAAATTGATAAACAATGGGAGGATGGTGCTACAGACTGTGCTACAGTGACCATTCTTGGCAGTCGGTCCTTGAAACACTCTTGTAATGTTCAGGGAACCATGTAGTTCCAAGGACTGAATTTGGACCTCCCACATGCAAAGCATGCACTCTAGTCCAAGTTCTTTAAATTCTTTTCCTACCCCATCGTATGTTTTTAAAGAAAAATAAGCATATGTAAACATGTAAGTAGAAACATTTTCTGAGTGGTAGTCTTATATTACAAGTCACCAAAGCTCTTAGGAACATCTTTTATTAGGTCACATATTATCAGTCAGTCATGGAAGAATATGAAACAGATATCCCCCAAAATGCTTTAATATTTCTGCAAAAGTTTTTTAGTAGCCAAGTGAGATAGAATGTTTATCCTCTGATCAGTATGACTTATCAAACTGAAACCTATTGGCAGTTCTTCAGGGTTATTGCTGGGACATGAACTGCTGGTGTAGTTGGATTACTGAGAAATTATTTAATTACTTTTCTCTTTTTAAAAGAGTAAAGTTGGACAAATGAAATTTTTAGCAAAAATTCCTATTCCGTGATTATCTGTACCCATTGGAGAGTTCATTTTGCTCTGTATTCTTAGACCAGATTCAAATAGTACTTTCAGGGAGGAAAAAAAAATACTCATTCGCCTCTGAAATCTTTTTCTGAGGAGTGGAGCAGAGGTATGACTTGTGTTCTGGGGCACACACAGTGCCAGAGATCAATCTGTATTACATGCAAGGCAAGTGCTTTAACCCCTGCACTCTCTGACCCTCAAGATTCTCCCTGGCATAGGATCTTAATGAATTCTCCATCTGCAATAATTACCTAAACATTATCAATTCAGGTCTATGCTGCACTCCAGCCCTCATTTCTAATTGCCTAGCCTTATCTGGCTGACTGACTGCTGCAAATTTATCATTCCCTTAGGTGCTGGAGATGGATCCAAGGGGCTCACGAACAAGGCCAGCGCTCTGTGTCGCCGAGCATTATCCCCAAACTCTTGACTCAGCATTTTTTACATCGAACACATCGTTTTCATTATCACTGAAACTCTTAACACCCGCTCCTAGTCTCTTCCCACTAAAATTTATGACTGTAGCTAGCACTACTGTTGTGCGGTAGTTGAGGTCAAGACCGTGATTCATACTACTATTTTTCTCAAGCCTTTCCAGTTTTGTTGCCCTGCTGCTGTTGACTAGACTTGGATGACACTGCTTTAGGAAAAACATGAACACCACAACTTGGAAATCAAGACTTCTAGGTAAAAAGAAACTCAGTATGGGAATCCTATATAATGGGTATTAAATTTTGCTGCTTCTTGAACAAGATCATCCAGGGGGTATCTTTTTCTTTAATGTTCTTTGTTTGGGTGCTAGAAGTTATTCGTCGCTCTGCTGAGGAAATATCACTGGTGGTTCGGGACTATATATGCTGCTGGGGATCAAACTGGGTTGGCCATACGCTAAAGTCAAGTGCCTCCTATATTTTCTCTCCACGCTGCAGCTAATCAGCTTTTATTTCCAGTTAATCGCTACTGAAAAAAAAAAGTAGGAGCTACTATTTATTTGATGCCTGAATCTAATAACAACAGCAATACAAATACATTTTTCTCAGAAAGAAGCAAAAACTCGAAGTATAGAAAAGTGGGATATGGGTATGTCATATTAATAATGAAAGAATCACGTGGTGACCACATCTCTTCCTTGTTCAGTCTTACCCTCCACGTTGGAAATTCTATCCTCAAATCTCAGTAAAGTTCAAGGTTGGTGCCAAAAGCAGCCCTTCCTTAAATAAGGGATAACCCTTATTTAATGAATTAAAAACCTCAGCACCAGAGCTAGGAGTAATATAGTGGGCAGGCACTTGCTTTGCAAGCAGCTTTGATCCTGGTACACCATATGGTCCATTGAACCCCTCCAGGAGTGATCACAGAGCACAGAGACAGGAATAAGCTCTGAGCACCGCTGCTGGGTATGGCCCCAATACCAGTAACAACAACAACAACAAAAAATCCCAATTATAATAACAAGCACCTCACCACCTCTTTCCCCTGAAGAAAAAAAAAGTGAGAAACTTGGTTAAAAAAGTTGCTGCCTATGGAGTAGTTCTTAATTCTTCCACATAGACCGACTCCTTCAATTCCATAGGAAGTCATTTGGATTAAAAACAAACAGAATCCATTATTCATTCCCTCTTCGACTCTTCTTATGGCTTTTCTTAGATCTGAAATGGCAATATACATAAATCATTAAATTAACAACTCTTGATAACTGGGTATACTGAAACTGATAGGGATGGCACCATTATCTAATGAACCTACTTGCTGGTTTTGTCTCAGGGGAACACAGACAAGTATGCTATGCTATACCACAGAATAAGCAGTACAGAAGTTTCTAAGTAAAGCTTACCAAAATAACTTGTCCAAAGTCCTCAACTGTTAAATGGGACTTAACATGTCTCCAGAAACCAGAAACCAAAGTTCAAGCCTTTACCATTACCACCATTCAAAGCTATCATCTTACAAGGAAAAAAATTTCAGTAATTCTTGGGGCAGTAGGCCTATGCTCTTCTATATGAGGGGTTCTTAAGAAACCCCATGAAAACAAAACATTTGTGACTGACACCTCAAGTTTTTTTGTTTGTTTTTTGCTTTTTGGGTCACACCCAGCGAAGCACAGGGGTTATTCCTGGTTCATACACTCAGGAATTACTCTTGGCCGTGCTTGGGGGACCATATGGGATGTTGGGAATCGAACCCGGGCAGGCTGCGTGCAAGGCAAATGCCCTACCCACTGTGCTGTCACTCCAGCCCCACCTCAACTTTGGAATGGGGCAAGATCCTCCAACTATAGGTCAATCCATACCTTTCAGGAGACTTTGAATGACTTCTATGTCTATGACTACGGTGATGACCTGAGGAAGAAAAGACCAATAGATGAGTAATAGTTTTACTACTCTTCTGTCATATCATCTGCTTTAAAAAGGTCTTTCATTGGCTTAATTTTTTGGCCTTTAACAGGGACACTTAGTGCATCTCTTCAGGTATGTCTATGTGCGCTCTCTGGAGTGGAAACCTACTTGCATTCAGGGTTGATTTCACAAACATCACGTAGTGGTATTTAGTGGTATTTACTATTACTTCATTAGGTCTTATTCTTATAAATTCAGATGTAAAACTGAAGGTCTTTATCCTTCAAGTGATAAGTGTGAAGATATGAATTCTTAATTTCAAATTCTAAGTCCATTTCCTTTTCTAGGCAATATTATGGCCAGACACTCCCTTTACTGCACTAAGCTAACTTTTATTATATACTTTTTAAGATAACAAATAACAAAAGGCCCAAATACTATACCTGGGGACTTGGAGCGGGATCTGTGGCGTCTATCTCGGGATCTGCTTCGGTGACGTCTTGGGCTCTTGCTCCGATGCCTTTCTCGTCGAGGGGAGGGACTATGGATACGATTAATCAGACTTCTGTATCTACCTGATGATATATTCACAGTAAACCACCCCCCCCCAGCCCCCACCCCGGCTCTGCAAATCCGCATCAGAATCACTGTAGGCCTACCTCCTCCTCTTGGGAGATCGACTCCGTCTATGTGGAAGAGAGAAAGAGAAAAAGAGCTTTAGCAGGAGCACTGGATATTGTGGACCACAAATCCTGCCCCAATTCTTCCTTACCTATTATTCAGATGTTTTGCCATGCAACTTTTAGCATTTCTACTCATCCTGGAATGAACTTGCTTTGGCCAAGTGGATATTCACATCTGATAGATAAAACTATCTTGGAAAACTGGTGCCACTGCTATAAAACGCCTACCCTAGCTCAAATATCGGAACAAGATGAGTTGCCCCAGTCATCCTAAGTCAAAGTTATATTGGCCTAGTAAATACCAAGTGGGTAAATGAATATGACTTACACTAAAAAAACTGCCTATTGGAGACCAGTGTAAATAACTGCTGGAAGACTTGTAATGAATTGGTTATTGTCTAGATCTATGATTTGGGGTAATTTTACAGCCGCTTACACACTGGAAAAACATTCTTCACTGGCTGGCTGGCATTTCCCCCCCAGAAGTCTGTATTTCTAGACTACAGCACTTTTTCCTCAAAGCCAGGGCCTCACCTCTGCAAGCCGTGGCACTAAGCCACAAGCCCAGCCCTAGGCTGGAGCACTTGAAAGTCTCCCTGGAGGGACCAGAGAGCTAATACAGCAGGTAAGGGCTTGCCCCACATGTGGCCAACCTGGTTTAATCTCTGACACGAAATATGTCAGGAGTGACCCCAGAACACCAGTGGGTAAAGGTCTGACGAGGTCCTTACCTTCTAGGAGACCTGCTTCTACTCCTCCTATAGCGCAGAGTGGGAGAGCGCCGGGGCTTGTCTAAGTCTCGGTAGCTTCTCCGGCGGTGATCAGGTGATGGCACTCTCTCCAACTGGCAATGAGATAGGAGGGCAGTGATAAGCAAAGGATGCCAGAGCCATCTGTTTATATTCCTAATTTATTTCAATTCTGTCACCTAATTACTTTAAACCAGTGATTTCAACAGGGCAAACAAAACTGTTAAATTCAGAGCCAGAGACTGCAGTGGAAGGGCACATGGCCAACCCAGGCTCAATTCCCAGCACTGCACATATGCCCTTTGCCCTGCCAGGAGTGATCCTTCAGTGCAGAGCTAGAAACATCACTGGGTACTGCCCAAAAACAAAACCAAGACACAAACTAATTCCAGTAATCCCACTATTATTCAAGTGTTACTGCCATTATACTGGGACTAGATTAGTGTTTGAAAGTTAGATTTTCAAATGTGAAAGAAAGAAAATTCCCTGAATGGCTCTTAACATTAGGGACAACCAGACTTTTGTTTCATCTCAGGGGTAATGCACACTTCTGCCTACTATGTAGTGTGCTCTATTCCAAGGTGGCAAAACAAGCTCTAGAAGTAAAAACTAGTTTACAAGAAATAGAGGGGAAAACGGACATGTGAATTGTAGAGACATAACCAGGAAAACTAAAAATATGGAGAAACAGCCACGACTAAACATGCTACAGTGTTACAAGACAAAAATGATGAGAACTGGCAAGATTACAGGATAACTGAAGGGCTGGAGTATCTGCCTTGCATGTTGCAGCCCCAAGTTTGATCCCTGGCACCCTATACTGTCTCCAAGCACTGCCAGGAGAGATTTCTAAGTGCCCAGAGACAGAAGTAGCTCCTGAGTGTTGCTAAATGGAGCCATGAAACAAAACAAATATATGAAGTTGTGATCTGCTTCAAAGTAAGCTTGGTGACAGCTGACCCAGCATAAGCGTTTCTACTTATCATTTCTATAGTTTTACTATGGCATAAACTATAGTTCGAATGATCTATGAGTTGAAGTTTGGAAACAAAACTACTTCTATCCTCTTCCAAACCGTAAGCTCCCAGAAGCCTGACCTTCTCATCCTCCTCTTCCTCTTCTTCACTGGATTCCACGTCATCCATGTCTTCTTCCAGAGCACTAACCCGAGGCTCCAATTGCTCAGCTTCCTCTAGCACGTAGCGTTTCTGTAGAGAACATTGAGAGTTAGGAGACCTCGCGAACTTCTCTGAGTCTTGATGGCCAACACTGGTAGATGAACAATGAAGGCAAGAGCTGGCAATTTGATTCAAACATCCAGATAATTAATGATTTTCAAATAAGGTCAAGTTTCCGAATGGACTTGCTGCATAAGACGTCAGAGCATTTTCTTGTGACAAAGACATAAAAAACAATGTTGGATTCTCTTAGAGTAACAGCAACGTTGTTGTTGTTTGGGGGCCACACCTGGCAATGCTCGAGGGTTACTTCTGGCTTTATACTCAGGGACCACTCCTTGCAGTACTCAGGGGACCATATGGGATGCTGGGGATCGAACCTGGCTTGATCGTATGCAAGACAAGTGCCTTACCTGCTGCACTATTGCTTTGCTCGCTTAACACTTGTATGCAACTTTATTCCTTACAAAAATACTATGAAGATCGGGAGACTGAGGAAAGATGCTCCTCAGTGAAGCTGCCCCTTGGGAAAGTGCTCTCCAGTCACGGGACCATTACAATTTGATCTAGGGCCAGATTCAGAATCCCTAATGCTCATCAGATTTATATTCAATAATCAGAGTTCTTCCTACAAATCATTCCTCCTTGCTACTATCAAGACACATCAGAAACCAGATTGTTCACCTATGGGTTATTTGAAAATTAAGATCAGAACAAAAGATAGACTTAAGGGTCACTTCAGGACATAGAAAAGCTTCTCAGTGAACATTCCTGGTGATTTACGTCAGATTTTGATTCTCAGTGAGGCTTGTTTTGTGCTCTTCTAGGTGCAATACAGACCACCTCACTGACACCAATAGTAGACTTTGAAACTACGCTACAGACCAATTGCACTTCAAGCTTTCCTTTTTTAAAATTATGTATTTCTACAAATAAAAGCAGTTAAGAACAACAATAGTAACAGCTGTTATCATTCTCACAATAAGTCAGTATGAGAATTTTGTCCTGTGAGTAGATTCTGAGGTATGAAAACTCACTGTAGCACTGTCCTCCCATCGTTCATCTATTTGCTCGAGCGGGCACCAGTAACAAGACCATTGTGAGACTGGTTCTTACAGTTTTTGGCATATCAAATATGCTTGCTAGGCTCTGCTGTGCAAGCGGGATACTCTCAGTAGCTTGCCAGGCTCTCTGAGAAGGACGAAGGAATGGAACCTGGGTTGGCTGCGTGCAAAGTAAACGCCCTACCCGCTGTGCTATCGCTTCAGCCCAATGCAAAGCAGCTAATATGGAACTGGAGAGCTACATCACAATTATTTTCAGGATTTTAGTTTTAGAGAATTGTAAGTAGAATTGTAACTGAAGAAGAGCTGGTCTGCTGCCTGTAAGAGCAGGCATTTCCTCAGGATCAGGAAGACTTAAAGGGCGAAAGTGTGAGCTTTTGTATCCAGAATACCAGATTCTACCCCTGAGCGCGCTAGTATGAGCCATCTCTCAGCTTGAAATAATCTTGTGCTGTGTATGGTCCATGAACAAGGAAGAGTGAGCACCATTTATCAAATACTTCTATCCAGTTGGTTTGCTGCCTTGAGCAAATCTATTTTATCTATTCTGTTTTCTACTCTGATCATACTTGGGGTTCAGGGACTACTACTGGCTCTGTGCTCAGGGATCATTCCTATGATGCCTGGAAAACCATGTGCTGGGGAGTGAACCCAGGCATCCTGCATGCAAACATGCACTTGACCCTTCAAGCTCTCTTGCCCCAGTAAAGCATTTTAAAGCTGAGAAAGAGAGATATAAGAAAAAAAATTCGGGTTAGTGGTAGTGTTCACTATTGATTGTGGTGACAGCTCCAAGGGTGTTGTCAAAACTTGCCAAACTATATTTAAATGGAGTTTATTTTATACTTTACTAAAGTCATCTAACAGAAAAATAGCCTTTGTTTACATGAATCTCATTCTGAGCCCTAATATAGAATGCAGAGAAAATGGGTGCTGCTTTCATTCCAAGAGACGTGTTGTCACTTCTTACTCCTCTTAGTTCTCAAACAGTCCCACAAGGAAGTTAAAATCAGAGGTACCAGTTGGCTATGGCCCTGAGGATCACACACTCCATCAGAGCCAGAGGTGACATTCAACCTCATATACACTACGAAAGGGATTCTACCACTAAGTCACATTCCTGACCCAAATGTTTGGTTATAAAGAGAGGTCATACAAATTCCTTGGATCTCAGGGGGAAGGACCATGCAGTCCCAAAGATGAAACTCAGGGCTTCACACAATAAAGCTTATGCTTTACCACTATTTCCCTCGCTCTCAACCTGTTTTACTGTCTGATTTTTCTATTTGCCTGTCTATGCAGAAAGAAGGGTAACTAACTAAGAGAGATTTTTACCTGTAGCCGAGGCAGAATGATATCACAGACTCTCTCGCTGTGCAGTAGTTCATCAATAAACTCATCTACATGCATCAGTTCAAACTCTGAAAGAAAAGTAAGATCAAGCAACTTGGGGAAAAACAAAGTAAAATAATAAAAGATAAGAATCTAGAGATAAAATATCTAATGGATTACTTGGCAAAGAAAGCCTGCCTGCTCTGCAGCTTCACTTTCCCCAACAGTCCCTAGTCAAGCTACAACAACGTTTTACTACACAGAAGATACCATCAAACATGCACTCAAACCACAGCCCTTCTTCCCTTAGTCTCATCATCACCTATCCTCATTCTTCTCTATTTACTAATTTTTTGGTGTTTGGGCCATACCCAGCAATGCTCACAGCTTAATCCTGGCTCTGCACTCGGATCATTCCTGGCAGGGTTCACGGGACCATGGGAACCTCGGTTGACGACAAGCAAGGCAAGCTCCCTACCCAGTGTTGTTATCTCTTCAGCCCTTTATTCATCTTTATTGAGACCATCAATGTATCAGCCTCTTCTAGGGGCCTAGGGAAAAAAACCGAAGTTCTTTCAATTAGGACCAAACAAGCAAATAGAAAATAATCCTGATGGGGCTAGAGATAGCACAGTACAGGGTTTAAGGTGCTTGCCTTGTATGTGTACAAGGTTGTTTGATCCCTGGCACTGCATATGGTCCCCTGACCCCCACCAGCAGTGATCCCTCAGCAGAGCCAGGAGTCAGCCTTGAATACTGCTAGAAACAAAAAGGAAAGAAATGGTACTAAACGGTATAGGGTGATGTGTTTGTTCCTGAATAAATCATATAATTCAAGTATTATTTTTCATGGAAACCCATTACTGAATACAAATCGGGAATCTACTATGGCAAATGGAATAGCAATTTTTCACAATTTCTATAATAAGCATTACCTTAGTCTGGTGGTTCTTAACCACCGATGATTTTCACCCTTCCCTCACTGACACCTACAACAGAATTATTTGGCCCAAATTGTCAACAGAGTAAGAAACCTATCTTAGTTTGAAATAATTGTAAGTAAGCAATTCCATGAAGGTCATAACCATTTCCATGATTTTATTTTCAGTATACTTTTTAAGTACCTGACATACGTGCAAGTTGACATTTAATATTTATTTGTACAATGAACAGTTAATGAAAGCTTAAAGTGGGGTTGGAGTGATAGCACAGTGGGTAGGGCGTTTGCCTTGCATGCGGCCGACCCGGGTTCGATTCCCAGCATCCCATATGGTCCCCTGAGCACCATCAGGAGTAATTCCTGAGTGCAAGAGCCAGGAGTAACCCCTGTGCATCACTGGGTGTGACCCAAAAAGCAAAAAATAAATAAAAATTAAAAAAAAAAGGTAAAGGTAAAAAAAAAAAGCGTAAAGTAGAATATCAAATTCCTGGCCTACTTAGTGACTTGATACAGAGGGGCAAGGTAAATCATTTTCTACCCTTCTGAGAATACTTTAATTACATTACTGGAAACTCACGTTACAAAAAGTGAATTTTTGTGCAGGTATGAAGCTGCCTATCTTGTCTCTTAGTACTTTTCAGCAGGGTTCCTGCATTAGGTTGAGTACATTCACCTAAATATTCCGTGGATTTAGAGTTACAGGAGAGAAATATTAAAGAACTGAAGATCTAACACATGGAAAACTAATTTTGTCCGGGAAGGCTAGGGAAGATTTTTATAGAAAACCTAGAAGTAGACTTTTTTGGTCCTTGAGAGTCCTTTTTTTGGGGTCCTTTTAGGGCTGGAGCGATAGCACAGCAGGTAGGGCATTTGCCTTGCACACAGCCAACATGGCCGACCCGAGTTCGATACCTCTGCCCCTCTCAGAGAGCCCGGCAAGCTACCGAGAGTATCTCGCCCACACGGCAGAGCCTGGCAAGCTACCCGTGACATATTTGATATGCCAAACACAGTAACAACAAGTCTCACGATGGAGACGTTACTGGGCCCGCTCGAGCAAATCGATGAACAACGGGAGGACCATAACCGTGACCTTGAGAGTCACACCCAGAGGTGCTCAGAGGACCAAGTAGTGGTGGTGACAGGGCTTTCCATAGGCAAAGCATGGACTCCAGCCCTCTGAGCATTGCACTGCAAGGCAAGCATTAACATTAGATGCTCCTGGAAAGGTTTGTGAGCGGGAGCAAATGGGTAAACAAGGTCGACAGAAAGCTAGTGATAAAGTAGGGAGATGGAGGGCCTGGATGAAGACAGTGACAACGAAGATTAAAGAGCATTCTTATGTGACAATGTGAAATATTAGTGAAATAAAAACTGGTTCAGGAATTAAAATATAGACATGTTACCATACTCACCCCCATTACGGTTCTGACTCTTGATTTTTCTGTAGTCATTGTAGAGAGGCTCTAAGTACTTGTAGCAATCAATGGCAGTGCCTGTCAGTCTCATGTAAAGTGCACCCAGCATGCGGACATACCTGACAGAGAGCACAGTGAACAATGGGCTTTTCTAAGAAGCTCCTGGATTTTGGGACGGGCTTGTCATGGGAGTAGTGGACAAAGTAAGTTTCTCCTCTTTGGAAGACAAAAGAGCTGATGTTTCAGAGGCATGATGGGGCAGTAGAAAAATAAAGAGACCTAGGTTCAAATTCACATTCTATCCCAGTTGTGGGAACTTGGGAACTGCCCACCTTTCAGGTCTATTTAGAGGATCTATAAACCAATATGGCTAATAGGATCATAAAAGAATCAAATAAATCACTGACTTTGTTTCTGCTTGGGGGCTATACTTGATGGTGCTCAGGGAACCAGAGAGGGCCCAAGTGCAAGGAAAGCATCCTACTCACTTGGCCCCACTTTTAAAGGAGGAGAAACCAGGTGAGCACTGAAGCCAAGTGTGCAAAGAACCAAAACCTGGTGTGCAACTCCCAGTGAGCACCAAAACCGGAAATGTATAAGCCTCATAGCCAAGCCCATGTGTGACTGCGGGGCATAATAATGACAGCAACAGTGGGCAAGTAGAGTAGGGAAGAGAATTTTTTTTCTCACAAGATATAAGTCAATCTTTTGCTAAAGTTTTTTTTAAATTTTTTATTAGTGAGACACCATGAGGTACAGTTGTAGACTTACAAATTTTTGTGCTTGGGTTTCAATTATACAATGATCAAATATCCATCCCTCCACCAGTGCCCATTAGGGAAGAGAATTTTTAAAAAATGGTTTTAAGGCGCTCTGGTCAAGACGGTGGCAGCGCACTGGCAAGCCCCAGGGATGCCAGCTCTCAGTGCTCTGAACATCCAGTGGGGTCATAAAATTTCTGTGTAAGTGAACATGGGCGCCCCTTAGATACCGTCTCAGGGAAAGTGCCATTGAATGAAACTGGCTGAGGATGGTGACAGTGTAGCCGCCAGCAGGCGGAGCAATGCAGCTCTTGGCCTCTTTGAAAGTCGCTGAAGGGGCCAGAGCGATAGCACAGCGGGTAGGGTATTTGCCTTGTATGCGATTACTCGGGTTCGATCCCCAGCATCCAATATGGTCTCCCAAACACTGCCAGGGGTAATTCCTGAGCCAGCATAAACCCCTGAGCATTAGTGGTGTGACCCAAAAAGCAAAAAAGAAAATCACCTGGGCCCTATGTTCCTACCATAGGGCCCAGGTGACATTTCTTCCCCAGACCAGCCCACACCGCCTGCTGCTTATTATGGAAGAGAACTCCCTAAGCACCAATTCTGGAAACCGAGGATGTGGGAACGTGCCCCCTGGTCAGGTTCTGCTGGACTGGTGGCTGTGGTCTGCTTGGAATGCGAACAGTAGCACCCCTGACGCTGGCTCCTGTAAGGGCTGCTGCCATAGTCACTAGGACGAGGGGGCGGGGGGTGGGGGTGGGAGGGGGACAGCACCACCGCCACCAGCAGGTCAGCTTGGATCTGCGAGGAGATTGCACTGCCAGCCTGATGGTACCCATCGGGCTTCCTGACACCCCGAAATCACCATAATGCCTTGGGCTGGATTCCAACTCAGGGCCTAATTTTCCAAGAAATTCAACCACCAAAAGTAAGGTGCACAAGACCCAGGCCCACAAAACATCTCAAGTTCAGTCATACAAACTCATTTATCAACCAAGCTTCAGAGAGTTCATCTCGGACCTGCACAAGGCTGAAAAACCCAGGGAGCAACAGAGGGTGGGAGGGTTAGCCCAGTGCCCACCCAAAGAGAGCCCCTGGCAGCCACTTGCTCCCCAATCCAAAACCATCTCATCCTTGCCCTTGACCGGACCCCAACGTCTTAGGACTGATCTCACCAAGAGATTAACCTCCTGAAAATTCAGGTATGTGGATTTTATAACAAATCTCCAGGCTTTCTCGGAATTGGGGTGGGCTACCTCCCCCCACTTCCCTATACTCTTAAAAGCCTTGGCAGTCATTTGATGAACCAACTCAAGTGCCACCATGTAAGCTTTTCAACAGGACTTGCTTCAGAGACCCATAAATAAATCTCAAAAGAGATCAAAAACGACAGTTAATCTTGGATCTGTGTAGAGCTGACTGAACAACCCAGGGCACATCGGAGGGGAATTAACCCAGTTTCCGCCAAAACAAAATCCTGGCAGCCACTTGCTCCGTGTCCCCAGCCAGACTCCACCGTCTCCAGAGGGACCTCACCAAGATATTAATCTGCTGAAAATTCTGGTATGCAGATTTTGTGACTGAAATCTCCAGGCTTTCTTGAGGTTGGGATGGGCTACCTCACCCCACCTCCCTATACTTTCAGAAGCCTGGCAGTCACATCCCCCCCCCCCCCAAGTCACCACCCAGTTAAAAAAAAGCTACTCCAGCTGTATCTTCCTGATAAAAATACTAAATGCCGTGAACAAACAATGACTCCTTAGTATTATATTGCAAACCATAATGCACAAAAAGAGAGGGAGGGAGAATGAGAGGGAGGGGGGAGGGGAGGAGAGAGGAAGGGAGAGAAGGGGGGAGGGAGGAAGGGGGAAGGAGAGAGGGAGGGGAACGTACGGGGAGTGGGGTGGTAGGGGATGGTGGTAGGAAAACTGGGGATCTTGGGTGGAAAATGTACACTGGCGGAGAGATAGATTTTGGAACATTGTATGACTGAAACCCAATCATGAGTACCTTTGTAGTGGTCTATCTCGTGGTGATTCAATAAAAAAACAAAACAAACTTTTAAGTTCAAAACATACTCATAGGCAAACTAGCTTTCACAGTAACTAATAGATATTGCACTGGTGCACTGCTCTCCCATTGTTCATTGAGTTGCTCGAGTGGGCCCAGTAACGTCTCCGTTGTGAGACTTGTTGTTACTGTGTTTGGCATCTCAAATACGTCACGGGTAGCTTGCCAGGCTTTGCCATGCGGGCGAGATACTCTTGCCGGGCTTTCCGAGAGGAGTGGAGGAATTTAACCTGGGTCAGCAGGGTCGTCCGCATGCAAGGCAAACGTATTACCGATGTGCTACCGCTCCAGCCCCTAATAGATATTACTCACTTGAAATCTTCATTTTTTATAAATTCTACAATGATATCCTTCTCGGGCTGGATCTGTAGCATCTTCAGTGTCAAACACAGGAAAGGAGTTGGCTTTATGTTGCCTCCATAGACACCACCGACAAACCTTAACTCCATGGCTTTATCAACTACAAGTTCAGCTGAAAAACAAATACAGTGCGTCTTAGATTCGTTAGGATTACGATTTTCCTAATGTGAAGTAGAGAGAGATTATTTCAAGGTTTGGTGTTCCTCAATACTTACCAATAACTTAAGATAACATTATAAGTAAAATTAATAATAACTGGCAGTTTACACTGTGAAACTTGATTTCTCTGCTGAGCATGTCATTTATTCTCTAATAAGTCATGAGGTTTAACTTCTAGCATTGTTCCTATTTTCAGGCAGTAAAAAAGCGGGGGGGGGGGGGCTTAAGAAAGGTTAAGTGGGGCTGGAGAGAGCAAGTGGGTAGGGTGCTTGCCTTGTATGTAGCTGACCGAGGTTCAATCCCTGACATCCCATATGATCCTTGGAAAACCTCCAGGAGTTGATTTCTAAGTGCAGACCAGGAGTAACCCCTGGGTGTAGCCCAAAAAAAGTAATTAAATAACTAGCTAAATAAATTAAAGGCTAAGCGATGTCACTAGACTACAACCAGAAAGTGGCAAAGTTTAGCTTTAAATCTGAGCAATTTTAACTTCAAGTCAATGTTTGTCACCATCATCTGTGGGGAAAAGAGTGACCAGATAATGAATGAAACGAAACAACAAACTGAAAATAGTTTTGTAACCTTGAGTATTCTACTCATCCACAGAATGGGGAAATTAACTTTCCAGTGTTTTCGGTTTGGCCTGATTTCATAGGCCATACCCAGCAGTGCTTAAATACCTGGCTGTGCTCAGGAAATCATTCCCGGTGGTGTTCTGGGGAACATCTGTGGTACCAGGGCTCGACCCTGAGTCAGCCACGTGCAAGACAAGCGCCTAAACCTCTGAACTATCTCTCTGGCCTTCCAGTGTTGCTATTTAAAAATCAAATACCAGCTATGTTAACCTTGGGAAATCACTTTGCCTCTCTTTAATCCTGTAATTCAAATTTAAATTAAAAAAGGTAAATAATTTAAGGACTATTATATAAGGACAACACTTACCGTAGTTACTACTATACAAAGCAAATAATGCTAATTATAAATAATGGGAGATAATTTTATAAACTACACTTTAAGATTCTTTAGGATAAATTCTATTCTTCATTCAACATTGACAATTTACAGCAGGGCAGCCACTAAGTACTTAAAACAATCATGTCCCTGATATAGGTAGGGGGATTAAAAAAGAGGAACAGGGCTAGGTAGTATAAGGGGTAGGACCCTGGCTTTGTATGTGGCTGAGCCAGGCTTGATCCCCGAAGTCTCAGACGGTCCCCTGAGCACCACCTGGAGTGTTCCCTAAGAGCAGAACCAGGAGTGAGTCTGAGCATGGTTGTGTGTGGTCCCCAAAACAAACCAAACCAAAAAACAATCGCAACAACAACAAAAAAAGAGGGGCGGTTAGAGAGATGGTAGAACAGGTGGAATAAGTGTCTTGCACGCAGATGATCCAGGTGAAATCCCTGCCACCCCACGATTTCCTGAGCACTCCAGGAAACTAAGAGCCTGGAATAAGCACTGAGCACCACCAGGTCTGGCCCCCAAACAAAAACAAAACAAAGGGACACAATTACAACTCTTCGTAAGTTTACACTCTGGCAAAGCAAAAAACCACTCGATAAAATAACTGAAAGGGTGACTTACGTGCAGTTGGAACACAAAATACAATTAAACTGTTTAACAAGGGTTCACAGTTTCTCCAGTTTAGAGAACGGGGAGTGCATCTTGAGCATGAGGTGTAGAAGAGGGCACAGCTTTGGGAGAAAACATCACGAAAAGATCAAGAATCTCCTTCGGGACAAAACTGACAAGTCTCAGAACTTGAGGTCTGGATCTTGGGAAATTATCTGGGCGGGACAGCTAAATTGGAAAGCATGTAAACATAGCGCGTGACTGTGCTTGACAGTAGCTCATTTAAAGAAAAGGACGGAATGAAAAATCTTACATAATTCCAAAATTTAATGGCAATTCCGAAAAACCGAAAGAGGCACGCACGGCGGACAGCAAAGGGCAGCAGTGGTCAGCAGCTGAACATCCAGCGCTATCAGCCCCACGGACCCCACTCAGCTCTTTTTCTTTGGGGGAGGCAACCGAAAGGGGTGCTCCGGCCTCAGAGGCCGGCCCGAGCGATACTCTGCCACCAGGCTGGCAGGTCAGTGCCCAGGAAGGTACCGTCAATTGGGGGCGGGGGGGCAGGTAAGGAACCTCGGTGAGGGTGCAAGCAACAGCACCCAGCGCCTATCTCAATCTCCGGCCCAACGCGTTTCTTTTAGAACCCGCCGACCACAAGTTTAAGGTCCTGAACAGAATCCGCACGAAGACTGGGAGGCTATCTGGAAAGGTTGTGAGGAACGTTTACCTTCCACTAGGACTCGAGGAAGACCCCGTAACTCGTCTAAACGGAGGGCTTCTCAGAGGAAGCCGGGCAAAGGTCGATTCCCTTTGATTTCGAGCGGGTCGACCTCCCGTCAAGGCTTTCCGGTCCGATTTCACCGCGGTTCGGAATCAGCAGTTATAAACACGGAACGACCCAACGGCGGAAAATGCATAAAGCCTCGTGAAACAAAGTCAGAGCAAAGTCCCCTGTGCCCCCAAAGACTGACTAGATTCCGACGTTTCCGAACGGAGTTTCCCCCCCAGCGCCCCGCCACACTCCCGGTCAGTGCCACTGGGCCCCAAAGCGGCCAAGGAGGTCCCCGCGCTGCCGCTCACCCGTGAGCCCGAAGCACTCTTCTTTCCAGTACTTGGACTCGTAGATTCGCGTCCGAATGATCTTCTCCACCAGATACTGAGGGTTGGTGCCGTGGATGCTGTGCGCATCCTTCACCGTGCGGTTCGCCATCTTGGAACAGCTTCCGCGCCAACTTCCGTCGAGCCCTTTAAGACGTCACGGCGAGCGGAGAAACCCGCGCGGCTCGAAACGAGCAGAGGCGCGCTCGCGCCACAGCCGGGACGGCCATCTTGGGACCGGAAATGCCGCGCCGACGGACGGCACTTCCTTCCGGCGACCTGCGCCTTTGCGTCCCGGCGCACGGGGGCGGGCGCGCGCCGTCGGCACGTGACGCCGAGGGGGCGTGCCGGGCAGGCTGGCTGGTGACGAAACGCGGTGACGGCCCAGGGGGCGGGGCCGCGGCGTTTGGCGCGAAATTTCCTCTGCCTCCTCGCTCCCGGTTCGGCTGCTCGGGCCGGTGCTCGCGGCCGCCGCCTGGGTTCACGGTCCGGCTCGGGCAGGCTCGCGAAGCTACACCCCGGCGGCCTCTCAGGCGGAGGCGCGGGAGCGGAGGGCGTCCTCCTAGCTGCGAGAAGCTCCGAAGCGCGGTGAGTGTGGCGTCCCCCGCGGGCTGCACGGGACCCGAGAGACGGGAGCCGAGAAGAGCTCTGTTGCCCGACTCCCCACTTCCATTGATCGATCGATCGATCGATTGATTGATTTTCATTTGCGCCCACACGCAGCAGGTAACTTACTCAGGGCTTACTCCCGGCTCAAGGATCTGTTCTGGCGGGGCTCCGGGATCGAACCCGGATCGGCCACATGCCGAGGAAAAGGGTCTTAAACGGCTTCACCTCTCCGGCCCTGACCTCGGCCCCTGGTTTATGCATCCGGCCGGTATGGATCCGAGATGAAGCCTGGTAATGGGCCGCTGCTGCGCTTGAAATCCGCCGGGAGCGGCCCCGTTTCTCCCGTCGGTTGCCCGAGTGAACGGTTTCCCGCCCCGTCGGGGCCCGAGCCTTGTGGGCAGGAACCCGAATGTCGCGGCCCGGCTGCTGGGTCTCGGCCGACCTGCAGTCGGTCCTTGGGAATGCACTTTCCCTCCCGTGGGCGGGACTCGGCGGGAAAGGTGGCTCGTCGGAAGTGCTGGTCCCATTTCGGAGATGGGACCGTGCAGAAGAGGAGGAAGCTGGCGGGCGGCTGCGTGTGACTCGGTAGCCTGAGCTCTTGCCCGGATCTTTTCCAAACGAGCCGCACTCAGCTCCTGACTCCCCACCCCTTCCATTCCACGAGAGAGGATGCCTTTTTGCAGCCCAAGTCTAATCTTGGAAGAGAAGAGCTCGAGACGATTTTGGTAGTTGGGAAAAGGCCTGACTTTCTTTTTTTTTACCAGCTGTCAAATGGTGGGGTGAAGGATTCTTAACCTTGGGCTGCTGCTTGTGAAACTGCAGTAGATACCTTCGTTTTCCGTTTTAGCGCTCAAAAATGGTGCCCTCTTCCTTGTCTTGCATGCCGATGGAAATGGGAGCACAAAGGGCCTCTAGAAAGTTTTTGAATTGCCCAGAGTAAAAGGCAAAAATTTTGTGTAAATTGTTTCTCATGGCATCGGATTAAAAGCCACTGCAAGTGACAGTCCCTTGAAAAGAAATGCGAGAGTGAATTTGCCACTTGATAATTTCACACTCAATGCTCAGTAATCCTGAGCAACTGGCAACAATGAGGGGCTAATAAACACTGCTGGAATAAACGACTTTTCTAGCCCCATTTTGTAAGGAAATTGAGGTCCGTTTTGCTTCTCAGTGGGCAGTAACCCTCACTTCTTGTAGAAAGCACATCCCTCACACACGTATCAATATCCACTTTTGCACAGGTGTCTTAAAGTGAAGTGGTTAAGAGTAGTTATTGAAAGTAGTAGTTATAGTAGTTCGAACTATTCAAACTTGAGTTGTCCCGCCATCACTATAATATTATTATCAGCTACTATCATGAAGTGACAGTAGCGTCTACCTTTCTTTCAGCAAATATTTCTTATTGATTACCTATTGTGCACTTAGTATGTACTAGCATTCTTGCAGAATTATTCTGAGAACTAAAAGATAAAAATGTCAAAAATTTTGGCTGAATTCCTTGCTATGTTGCCTGAGTGTCTGCTGTCATTTTTACTACTACTTTATCTGTTTTCACTGCATACTGCCCAGGATAATGGTGTGTATGTTGTAGATTTCTAGTATCTACCACATAAAGAACCTGTCCTGGGTATCTTTAGATACCAAAGCCTGGGGGCCTGAGAGTTAGTATAGCAGGTAAGGCAATTGCCTTACACAAAGCTTGCCAAGTTATTCCTGAGTTCTGCCAGGAGTAATTTCTGAGTAGAGTAGGGAGTAAGTCCTGAGCACTGCTAGTGTGGCTCCCAACTCACCCACACCCAAATAAATAAAAATGACTGTGATTTAAAAAAAAAATCCCTTGCTAGGTTGGATCAGGTCTGCCTGCCTTTTCTACCATGTTGGGGGATCTCCCCATTGATGGTGGCTGATGAAGTGCTAGGTTAAGGGTAAGAAGAGTGGGGTAACAATACAAAGAGACCTGACTTTTGCTCCACCAGAGGTAATTGGCTGTGTTGGAAATCCCCTGCCCCACATATGGGCCTCTGGGCACTGATAGGGGTCCAGCCAGAGCATTGAGCCAGGAATAGCTCCTGACCACACCAGGAATGGCCCGTAGCCTCAACCTCTCCTACTCCCCCACCAAAAGAGCAAAAGAATTTGATTAATTTCTTGGACTTTTCATTGAAAAACAACATACAGGGGTCAGAGCGATAGTTTAGCGGATAGGGCATTTGCCTTGCTTGTGGTCAACCTGGATTTGATCTTCGGCATCCCATATGATCCCCCGAGCATCTCCAGGAGTAACTCCTGAGTGCAGAGCCAGGACTTAACTCCTGAGCATTGCCGTGTGTGACCCAAAAGGCAAAAAAATAATAAAATAACATACATAAAGAAAAAAGGTAAAGGCCCTCCCGTTGATCGTCGATTTGCTCGAGCGGGCCCAGTAACGTCTCCATTGGAGACTTTGTTGTTACTGTGTCTGGCATATCGAATACTCTGGGTAGCTTGCCGGGCTCTCCGAGAGGGGCGGAGGAATCGAACTCGGGTCGGCCATGTTGGCCGCGTGTAAGGCGAATGCCCTACCCGCTGTGCTAGCCAACATGGACAACATGGCCAACATGCGGCCAACATGGCCGACCCAAGTTCGATTCCTCCGCCCCTCTCGGAGAGCCCGGCAAGCTACCCAGAGTATTCGATATGCCAGACACAGTAACAACAAAGTCTCCAATGGAGACGTTACTGGGCCCGCTCGAGCAAATCGACGATCAACGGGAGGGCCTTTATTTATTTTTATTTTTACATAAAGAAAAGTGCATGAATCATCATAAGTTTATAGACCTCTAACACCATAGATTTCTTTTGTCTGTTTCTGAACTTTATATATATATGTGGACTCAATGAAGTGTATTTTCAATTAGTGTCTTATTTCTTTGGCCATTGTTTTGTAAGATTTTTACCCACATATGTGCTGTTGTCCCTAGCTTAATTTCATTTCTGTATAGTGCTACTGTGAAAATTCTGTTCTTAAAGGTATTTGTTATCTTCTGTTCCTTGTTCTGCTGAAATTGCTGGATCATAGGAGATGCTTACAGTCAATTAGCACACAACTACTAGTTTCACAGTAGTTTACCACTTACATGCTCTGCACAGTAAGTCAGGCTGCTTTATGTCTTTATCATACGTGGTATCGTCCTAATGCCGAAAACCAGTTTACTTATTTGCTCACTCACTAATGTGCTAAATTCTGACAGAGACTTGGGGGTGCAGTTGTGAACAAGAAAGACAAGGTCCTAAGACCTGTGGGAGTTTTTTGTGGGGGAGTTAATGTTCTAATGTGAAAAACAAAGTATGAAAATATATAATGGTTATTTCTCTGATACAAATGTGACAGTAATGAACAGGACCCAGAAGGCCAACATATGTGAAGGAGAAGGTGACTTTGTGACTTTCCATTTATTCTTAGTGATTGTCTCTGAGTAAATTCCATTGTCACTGAGACCTGAGCGATCCTGCAAAGACAAACACTGCTGCATGCAAGGGATGTGCCTGCTGCTCTGTCTCTCCAGCCCGTATTTGACAGCTTTCGAGAGTTCTTCAACTTACTTGCCTCTTCTGTGTCTCTATAGATTAATTATATTGGCTGTCTTTTATCGTGAAAAGGCGAAAAGTTACAAGTTTACTTCAATACTTCTGCTTTACATCATCCATTAAAAGAAACACATATCAAAGGTAAATTAGTATTATGTATTCTTGAACACTTATTGAGATTCAGACATCAAATTTTACCAAAAGTTTATTTTATTTTGGATTTTACAGTCCAAATTTATCTTTTACTTGGGCACATCTATTAGTTTTTACTAGTCATCTTTACTGCTTTTTTTTTACATTTCTACAGATAAAATTAGCTTGATTTTAATGGTACTAAGCTATTTAAATTATACTCTGTTCTTAATAGCAACATTGAGGCTTAATAAGTACTAGAGTTAGTAAGTGCTTCTAAGTATTTCTAGTTTCTATTCTTACATCTTTTTTTTTTTTAATTTTGCTTTTCGGGTCACACCAGGCGATGCACAGGGGTTACTCCTGGTTTTGCACTCAGGAATTACTCCTGGCGGTGCTTGGGGGACCATATGGGATGCTGGGAATTGAACCCGGGTTGGCCGCCTGCAAGGCAAATGCCCTCCCCGTTGTGCTAGCGCTCCAGCCCCTCTATTCTTACATCTTAATCCTTATATCTTAACCCTCTTAACCCTCCTAAACCTTACTTCTTTCCCTAGATAGGAAAAGGTATATTATATTATATGCACAATCATAATAAAGTGTCTGTGCTTGAGCTTCATAGTATTTGACTTTTTCCTTAAAGAAAATGTTTTTGTTTATTTCAGTCTAAAATATTTTTGAGTGTAACAGAGACAGAAAAGACTGAATTTGTTGAAAGTAGTAATTGCTTCCTGACATTCACTAGAACACTGTTATGCTAACTCAGAGTTACTGACTTTTACACAGGAGTCATGAACACATCTTACGCTACAAGACTGAGGTCCAGGAATATCTATTCATGGGTTGGAAGGCCATCGCTGGATCAAAAACTAAGGAACCAAATCTATCAGTGAGTGACAGTCCTTTGGGCCTACTTTTCCGAGCTTGACTTATGTTATCAAGTCTGTTCTAGTTATTCCATCCTAAGAGTATTTATTTGGTTATAGTTACTAGAGATTGAAGAATAATAAATATGAGTTTATTATAAGGAGGAATTGTGTTTGATTCAAAAAGATAAATGAGGTAGCATAAATGTAGTGCTTCATGATAAAGAAATATCAGTTAATAAATTGTCTTACGTATAGGATCAGAGCAAAAATGGATAGAGTGTTTGCCTTGCATGCTTCCAACCCAGGTTTAATCTCTGGCATCCCATAAGGTCCCCCAAACCCTCCAGGAATGATCCCCAAATAAGCCAAGAGGAAGTCCCTTGGCACCACTGGATGTGGCCCCAAAATAAAGTCAAATATATAATAAAATACTTAAGATATTTTAACATCGGGGCTGAAGTTACAGTATAGCGGGTGGGGGTGTTTGCCTTGTGCGCGGCTAACCTGGGTTCAATCCCTGGCATCCCATTTGGTCTCCTGAGCACTGCCAGGAGTAATTCCTGAGTGCAAAGCCAGGAGTAACACCTGAGCATTGCCGGGTGTGGCCCAAACAAACAAAATCTTTAATATCTAAGCGAAAATATCTATATAATGCTGTATAATAACAAAGTAGGGTTAAATATTGTTCCTATATTCCTCCCAATCATATTAATGTCAGAATAATTTGATACTGTTTTTGGGAGATTTCATGTTTGGGGAAGTCTTTGTTGTTCTTTGTCAAGAACTGAGAGAAGGGGGCTGGAGAGAAAGAATAGCAGGTAGGGCACTTACCTTGCACAAGGCCCACCTGGCACCTAATATGAGCCCCACCAGGAGTAAGCTGGGTGAACACAGCTGGATGTGGCTCGAAAACAGAAAATGGGGCCAGAGCAATAGTACAGCAGGGTAAGGCACTTGCCTTTCATGCAGCCAACCCGGGTTTGAGCCCAAGCATCCCATATGGTACTCTGAGCCCGGGCACCAGTACTGATCCTTGAGTGCAGAGCCCGGAATAACCCCTGATCGTCGCCAGGTATTACCCAAAAGCCACACAAAAAAAGAACAGAACAAAACTTGAGAGATGTTAGGAAAGGGTTCATATGAAGGCATATGGATTAATTATATTAAAATAATGTATCCAACCCATCGCATCTACTTTTGCTTAAAGCTAGGTAAACTGGTTTGCCGGTAGAACTGATTAGATGGAAACAGATTAGGGTATTTTCCAGCTGCAAAGCACTTTTCTCTATGTTCAGAGAGTCAGAGCAGCTTGTTCCATCTTAAGTGCCTAACATAATTTCTTTTGTTACTTCTAGAGAAATGAGTGTGAAAATAGAAGGTTCAACCAAGATTCACATTCAAGTTGGACAGTTTGTGCTTATTGAAGGGGATGATGCAGAAAAGCCATATGTTGCTAAATTGAAGGAATTGTTTGAAGATGGTAAATTTGGGGTTGGGATGAAAATCTTTCCTCGTGATTGTGGTAGATGGTGGGAGAGGGGAGGAGGTTGATTCTTCTGTTTCAGCAGCATTTAATCTGGGAACCCTGGATTCTGAAGTGGGATCGTTTAAGTACTCGCTATACCTTTGTCCATCTAATAATTTACTCTTTTTCACTCACTAGTGTAGTATTTAGGTAAAATGGGATGGGTATGCATGAATTTAGTTTTTCTGTACTGTGTAGGAGTGTTATGACAGTATTTTTTAGGATGGAAAAAAGAATTCGGAAAGAAGGGAGAAAATTAAAAATAGGTGATGGATGGAACAGGAAATGGCTTAGAGGCTAAAGTGCCCGTGTGGGTGTGAGACTAAGTCAATCGCAGAGTCACTGCAAGCATCAAGCATGATTCTTGCAGCTCTGCCTCTCTGTGGTCCCTGGTACCCTGAGTAATTTTCAGCCAAGCCACACTATAGGGCCAGAACTAAAGGATATGATCTCTGGCCAGCATCATGCAGGAAAAATGAATTGCAGTACTGTGGCTTGGAGTGACACAAGGAGAACATGTGTGAGCATGCATGCATGCAAGCAGAGTATAAATAAGTGGCCACTCCCACTTGTCAGTACAAGTGTGATCCCCAATGAGGGAGCATCGCAACAAGGCGGGTGATCCCCTGGGAGCACCATAACTAAATGCACAAGCACCATGACCTAGTGTGTGTGCCTGCCCTCGTCACTGCAGTCACAGCGTCAACAGAAAGAAGGGAAGGAAGAAAAACCAATTAGAGGACTTGCGCTGTTTAATTTTTCTTCCTTTTGTCTTAAATTTTGACATGAGGAAGTTAGTAATAAATTTGAAAAGTTTTTAGAAAAGAAAAGGTGAATTAGGTCAGGTAGGTATATCAGGAAAACAAAAGTCTTTAGATAATTTACCTAGAAGGACTGTAGGGATCTAAGAGATAGTGCAGTGAATAAGGCACTGACCTTATGCAGCAGATCCAGGGACCAGCATTGCGTGGTACCCTGAGCATGGAGCCAGGAGTAAACTCTAAGCTCTGCCAGGTGTGCACTGCCCCCGGCCCCTCCTCCCTCAGGAAGGGTTTGTGTATGAAGACTAAAAAGACTAGAAGAAAAAAAAGCTGAGGCTGGAGCAATAGCACAGCGGGTAGGGCGTTTTCCTTGCATGCAGCTGACCTGGGTTCGATTTCCAGCATCCCATATGGTCCCCTGAGCACCACCAGTGCTGAGTACCTGAGTGCATGAGCCAGGAGTCACCCCTGTGCATCGGCGGGTGTGACCCCTCCCCCCCCCCCAAAAAAAAAGGCTGTGTTATCCAGAGACTAAGTGCAGAAGGTCAGTAACATACCTCAGAGTCAGGGAGCAGAAGGGAAGGCAGTGCCTGCAAGTGCACATAGCCTCAAAGCAGTGTTGAGGTTTTAGTCGGAAAGGTGGGATGGAAATGCATCTCTTATAAGATGGAGTAAGGAGAAAGAAGAAACATATTTGGTGATTTCAAATTGCTAAGAGCTAAAAGCGGAATGACATGGTAGATAGTACTGTGGAAACTTGTATGCCTAAAGCACGAACTGATAGAGTGGATGAAGTGCTTTACAGTACAAAGTAAAGAGGTGACAGCAATGATGATGTCAAAAATGAGTATATGTCCTTCCCCTTGTAGCTAATGTGAGCACAGGACAAAATGAAAGGTATAATGATAAGGCAGAAGATTGTAAGCATGCCATCTCAGTAGCCAGAACTCTAATTCTTGCTAAAATTTTTGTGTTGCTACTGTTCGAAGGCTTCTTTAGAGTTTGCTTTGCAAGACCATTTAGCTCTTGTGATTCAAAGGTCCTCTCAAGTAACATTTCCGTTAGGAAGTGAAGCAGAGTAAGAAGAGCTTGGACACTGGTAGCATTTGATAATGCTGGTTGGTCCTGGGCATTGACAAACTATTCAAGATCCCTGTAACTTGATTATTTTATTTGGAAAAGGGAGATGGGCACCATACTATTCTTTAGGATTATTAGAGGATCAAAGATAATATCTTCATCAAGCATTAAGTACTTAATATGGTACCTAGTACACAGAAGTAGTCATTAAAATATTCTTGCATTTTTTTGTTCTTATTTTTTTGAGTCACCCACCTGTGATGCTCAATACCGCTATACTCAATACTCAGTGCCTCTATACTCAGGAATCATTCCTGATGTGCTCAGGATACCATGTGGGATGCTGGGATTCGATCCTGGGTTAGCTGGGTGCAAGGCAAACACATTTCTGCTGTACTATCTCTCTGGCCTTGTTCCTGCATTTTTTTTCCTAAGTCCTTTTCGTGACTACCTCCTAGCTTCTGAACTTTATTTCAAGAAGCGTGCTCGAGTACAATGGTTTGTCCGATTCTGTGAGATCCCTTTGGGTAAGCAGCATTTGTTGGGCCGGAAGCCTGATGCGCAAGAGCTGTTCTGGTATGATTACCCCAGCTGTAACAACAACATTAGTGCTGAAACCATCATCGGCCCTGTTCAGGTAGGTGTCACCTTATCCGCAGTTTTATCTTGACTCTTTCTTGTTGCAGCTTAAACTTAATCGCCTCAAATAAATTATTGACTCTAATTTACCTGGCAAAATGCGGTTTTCATCTTTGCTTGCCTGCCTACAGCACCTCATCATGTATTTGTTGGAAACATGTATTATGTGTTAGAGACTTCTAGAGGAAGTAACATTTAGATTAGGACCTGAGCGATGAAAAGGAGTTAGCCAATGTATCTTGGTAGAAAATTATATCCCCCTTACGACTGTAGCAAACATAAAGTGTTGGGAAACTGAAGAAGCTTACTTAAATGAGGACTTCACTTTGAATAAACCTGTAGAGTTCAATTTACTTTAGGCAGATACGGGTTATGAAATGTAATGATGAATCAGGTTCTAAAGAGCTGTAGGCTATACTGAGACATAGATTTGGAGACCAATACAAAGGTTATTCAAGATAAAGGTTTATTCATTCAGGCGTAAAAATAACTGCCCAAATGAGATCAGACCATAATGTGAAGTATGGTTACCTAGTGAACAGATGTTGCTTTAGTGCTAGGGCAGCTACACTTTGATCTAGCATGACCATAGTTATATTTTTTTTTCTGATTATGGGCCCAGCATAATATATGCCACAAAATGATTTATCTCTGTTGCATGAGTAAAATGCAGACATAATCTTAAAAATAGGCAGGACCCTGATAGTGGAAATAAGAACGTAATGAGCCAAATTTGACTAGTGACCACTATGACAAATAGTGATCATTCAAGAGATACAGGGGGCCAGATTGTAGAATGCATTGAGAATGATCTTGCTATATAGGGAAGCCATTTTAGACTGTTAAGGAGGGGGGAATATCTAGAGAAGGTTTTGTGGAAAGGCCTGGCTTGCATGAATAGAATGAACTAGAAAAGAAAGCAGTTAGGGTATGGAGGTCAATGAAGAAGAGTCTGCAAAATTATGCTATGCCATGTTTGTATCTCTTGGTTTCAGAAAAGTGACGTAAAATGCGAACAAACGCTTTTAATCTTAGCTTTCCTGGAGCATTATTTTGGCTCTTTTGTTCCTCATTTTCTCCTATTCATAAATATACCTATTTCTAAATTCAGGTTATAGCTTTAGCCCCAGATGAAAAGATACCCAAGGATCTGAAAAATGAGGAGACATTCTTTGTGAAACTGTCTTGGAATGAGAAGAATTTTCGACCACTATCCCCAGAAGTATTTGCTGAGTGGAGTAAACTACACGAAGACAGCCCGAGATACCAGATGCACAGAAGAGGCAAATCTAAAGGCACGGAGAGCCCCTGGACCACAGCAGAGCATGGGGCCGTAAGGATTGAGTCAAGGCATTCCACCTCCAAATCGCGTCAAACTCCTACCCATCCTGTCACCCCACAGGCAAGGAAGAAGCTGGAGCTTGGCAGTAAGTATGGAATGGGTCACTGGAGGGGCAGTATTGAACATCTAGTTATATGATCAAATAATAACTCATGGGAGAGTGTTGATTCAGTACAGTTATGAGTCAGATTACTGAGTGGACACATGTTGACATATACTGTAGCACTGTAGCACTGTCCTCCCGTTGTTCATCGATTTTGCTCGAGTGGGCACCAGTAATGTCTCACAACAAATTGTGAGACTTGTTATTATTTTTGGCATATTGAATACGTCATGGGTAGCTTGCCAGGCTTTGCCGTGCAGGCATGATATTCTCAGTAGCTTGCCAGGCTCTTGAAGAAGGGTGGAGGAATTAAACTCGGGTCGGCCTCATGCAAGGCAAACGCCCTACCCACTGTGCTATCGCTCCAGCCTGTTGACATACACATGAAATTAAAATTTACCATTTAACTCATTTTTTATTTTAACTATTTAAAAGTAGAGTTTATCGATACTAAATATACTCATACTATATACCCATCGACATTATCATTTGTTTGCTTTGTTTAATTTTGGGGGCCCAGGCCCAGCAGTGCTTGGTGATCTACCCCAGGGCTCCCAAATGTGAAGCAAGTGCTCTCACCTTTTGAATATTTTCCTCATCCCACTGTCATCTAATACTGAAAATCAGCACCCATTAAATAATTTCCCATTTCCCTGATCCCTTATCTTCTGGCAATCACCATTTGACTTCACCTTTGAATTTGACAGATCTTAATGGCTCATCTCTGTGGAATCATACAGTATTGTCCATTTCGAAAAAGCTTATTTATATTAGCAAGATAGCCTCAGGTTGATCCATTTTGTTCTATATGTGAACATTTTTTTCCCTTTTAAAATTGAGTGATATTCTTCCTTGTGTCTCTTCCACATTTTGTTCATTCATTTGTCCGTGGATTGTTGGGAAGCTTTCACAGTTTTGCTTTTGTGACTCTTGATGTAGTAAATATTGGTAGGCAAATACCTATCTGAATTCTTGCTTTCAGATATTTATAAGTGGAATTATGGGATCATTGGGTAATTTTCTCTTAAAAGGTTTTTTGTTTTGTTTTTGGGCCACATCCAGCAGTGTTGAGGACTTACTCCTGGTTCTCCACTCAGGGATTACTTCTGGTGGTGCAGTGGGAACCACATGGGGTGCCAGAGAATGAACCTACCGTGTATAAAACAAGCTTTCTACCTGTTGTACTATCACTCCAGTCCCTATTAAAATTTCTTGAGAAATCTTCATACTGTTCCACAATAGCTCTGTAATTTTTCATTCCCATCACTCATGTAGGGTGCTGTTGTCTCCTTCTTTCCAACACTTGTTCTTTTCTATTTTGACGGTAGCCATCCTAGTTGGTATGAGCAATATGTCATTACACTTTTGTTTTGCATTTCCCTAATGATGAGGGACACTAATTATTTCTTTAAAAACCTTATTTTATTTAATGATAGAACTAAGAAATATGTATCTTAAGCCTCTTTAATTCATACTGCTGTTTCTGATCTATGCCACAGGGTTCCACTCCTCCCTCCATGTTCCAGAATTGGTGTCTCCCTTCACAGGAAGAGGTCTGGGCCTCAGGAACAATTCTTTATTTTTTTTTTTTGAGGGGGTCACATCCAGCGACACACAGGGGTGCATTCAGGTTCTGCACTCAGGAATAATTACTCCTGGCAGTGCTCAGGGGACCATATTGGATGATGCTGGGAATTGAACCCAGGTTGGCCACATGCAAGGCAAGTGCCCTACCCACTGTGCTATTGCTCCAGCCCCCAGGAACAATTCTTACACAAAATATCTTCAAAAGAGCCCTACTGCTACCACACCCAGCACTAAACTTACTAGTCACGTTCTATGTTTATTTGTAGTACTTTCTGCCTTTATTAAAAAAAGTATTTTCAGGGCTGGAACTATATTCAAGTGGGTAGGGCACTTACCTTGCATGCAGCTGACCCAGGTTTGATGCCTGGCTTCCCATATGGTCTCATGAGTACTGCCAGGAGTGATCTCTGAGTGCAGAGCCTGGATCCAGCTCTGAAGCACCAGAGGGTATGGCCCCCAAACAAAAAACCAATTTATTTTTCTCTGTATTTTTGGGTCACTCCTGGTGATGTTTAGGAGCTACTCCTAGCTTGGTGGTTGGGGTCAGTCCTGGTGGTACTTCAAAAAGCAGGCAGTGCTGGTAAAACCTGGGACTCCACAGGCAGACTGTTTCAGCCCTTTAAGTCATCTCCCCAACCTCTAATGTATTTAGAATATGTTCCACTGAAAAATTTTCTCCTGATGATTTACGTTATTAGCAATATATAGCTAAGCTCTTACTTCTATTTTCGGGCATTTTCCATCTTTGCTTTAATTTTTTCTTTTGTTCTGGGGCCCTACCTGGTAATATCAGTGCTTCCCCCTGGCTCAGAAATCACCCCTGGTGGTGGTCTGGGGCCCATATGGAATGCTGAAGTTCAAAGAAGGTTTGGCCACGTGGAAAGCAGGTGCCTTACCCCTGTGCTGTTACTCTAGCCCCATGCTTTAGTTTTTTAAAAAGTGACACATTACCATAACTGAAGAGTCAAATACATTCAAAACAAGTATAGGTAGTTCTCACTTCCTTCTTTACCCTTGTGTCCTGTTTACTCTAGCCTCATGCTTTAGTTTTTTTTAAGAAAGTGACACTTTTTGGGGGCTGGAGTGATAGCACAGTGGGTAGGGCTTTTGCCTTGCACACAGCCAACATGACCGACACAGGTTCGATTCCCAGCACCCAGTGTGAGCACCGCCAGGAGCAATTCCTGAGTGCATGAACCAGGAGTAACCATTGCCGGGTGTGACCCAAAAAGCAAAAAAAAAAAAAAGAAAGAAAAAAAAGTGACACGTTTTTTGGTGGTGGAGAATGGGCACTGGTAAAGGGACAGGTGTTTCATTTTATGACCAAAACTTAGACCCGAAAGCTTTGTGACTGCTCTCACAGTGATTCAATAAATAAAATTATAAAAAATGGGAAAAAAAAGTGACACGTTACCATAACTAAAGAGTCAAATACATTCAAAACAAGTATAGTTAGTTCTCACTTCCTTCTTTACCCTTGTATCCTGTTTCTCTACCCCATCTTTGTATGTAATTACATAGTATGTGGTCAATTTTTTAATTTATAGTTTATCTTTTCCTGTGGATTTTGCAATAATTGGCATCAATATATAGGAACAGGAACATATCTATTTCTCAATATATCATAAACATGCCTATATACAGAGATGCATGTAATTTTATTTCCCACTCTTAATACACTGGAGTTGTATATACTGTATTTATACTTTTCTGTTTTTTTTTCATAGTTGCCACCTCAGTTGGTGTGGGCCTAACAGTTTAGTGCTCAGTCCGTGTTGCTCTGGTGTCACTGGAACCATCCCAGTGGTGCTTGGCAGGGGGACTCACTGTGGGACCCAGGGTCTCACACTTGCTCGACATGTGCTCTGCCACCTGAGCTCTCACCTTGGCCCTCTGGATATATTTTTTTCCATCTTACTTTTTCTTCAGTAAAATTGATCTGCAAGCCACTTTTTGGTTGTTCTGAAAAACTTCACCCTTTTCGGTATCATTATCCCTTTTGAAATTTTTGGTCTACCTGTCTGGTTTTTGTTTTTTTCTTTCCCAGTTTTGGGGACCATGCAGTCTTGGGATTGAACCCAGGGCTCCAGCATCCCTAGAGTGAGATTCAGCCCTTGAGTTAGCTCTCTAGCGTTTTCTTAATACTTCCTTAGCACAAGCTATATGTCTTAGAGCTGAAATGTATTAAATGTTTGGGAAATGAATAAAAACTACTAAAGAAAACAATATGTACTTGTGATAGGCAGAAATAACAGTTTCTTTTGACTGCTCAGTTTGCAAGACCTTGAAACTGTAAGATGTTTAGACTTGACAGTTGCGTAACTGAAGGAGGAGGGTGCTTATTTGGGCACCTGTTTGTTCAAATGAGGTCAGGAAAGAGGTCACTAATCTTCACAGGCTAAACTCTAAGTGCTCTTTTAAGAGTGCTCTTTTGAGAACGAAGCCTCTGAGGTCACACCAAATACTTGGTGTGAGCAGGGTTGTCATACCTGAAGTGCTAGACAGCAGCTCGGAAAACTGAGTTGTTTTTCACAGAAGTTGTTTTCTCTTCGCAAGCTGTGTAGAGTGCTGGTGATAAAATTAATGCTGTGTCTTTGGCAATTTCCCTTGGACTTAGGTTTGCACCAGATACCCAACAGTAGGAATTCCAAACAGACTTCATGGACCTCATTGGATTCTCCTGGGAGAAGAAAACGGAGTGTTGCCCTCTCTGAGGTTACCTCTCCTTCCAAGAGGTCATATTATGATGGACTTCTGACCTTGTCTCCACGTCTGAAAACCCCGGAGAAAACTAGAGCTATTTCGCAGTCATGTACAAAGGATGAGAAGGAGGGCAGATCTGAATGCTGTATAACTTTGAGAACTCGAGTTCCAGCTTTGAAAACTACAGAAACACCTGACAAAATAACGCTTTGCCCTATAATAAGGTATTGGATACCCTCCTTGGTGATTCTGAAACCAGAAAGTATGAAGAGGTGACTGAGACATGACCCTGCCCCCAGAGAGCAAATCTCCATCTTTCAAGTGATAGGAAATGGAAGGGGCTCAGTTAATTCTCTTAGAAGAGTAGGTTGTTTTAGCACGCAAAGTCTGTGTCACAGACAGAAACACTGTTCTCCCGTTGTTCATCGATTTGCTCAAGCGGGCCCAGTAACATCTCTGTTTTGAGACTTGTTACTGTGTTTGGCATCTCCGCATGGGAGAGATACTCTTGGTAGCTTGCCGGGCTCTCCGAGAGGGGTGGAAGAATTGAACCCGGCTCGGCTGGGCTGGCTGCGCGCAAGGCAAACCCCCAACTGCTGTGCTATCCCTCCACATCAGAAGCTTTTTGGAAACAGATTTTAAACCTCTTTCCAGAGATAACAAATTGATCTCCAGGCACTGGGCCCAACAATCTGCATTTTTGAAATGCTCTTTGGGTGATTGGTAAGCCCAACACTCCTATAAGAATCAAATGACTGGTGCTGGGAGCATAGCTCAAGTGGTAGTGCATAATCATACCATGTACAGGGCCCTCAGTTTGATCCTTGGCACTGCCCCGATGAAGAATAATAAATAAGGCAAGACCTGAGCATAGTGCTAGAGTTAAGGCCCTTGCCTTGCCTGTTGCCTACTCAGGTTCACTTCCCAGCACACAATGGTGCCCTGAGCACTAGCAGGATCTATCTCTGAGGGCACGTCAGATATGACCCAAAACACAACAAAATGAAAAGTCCTGGATTTCATTACTGTGGCTCCTTACCACATGTTAGCCGTCATTTTCTTTGTTATTTCTTTAAATGAAACTAGACTCAAAAAATGAGGTACAAGGAGACAGTAGATCTAGAACAAACTACAGCTTGACAGCATTCACTGTTTTATAAATAACAGACTGTAAATAATGTGACAAGCCCCAAATCATGCATTTCACTGTCTCCTGCTAAGAAATGCCAAGACGAGACTGGAACAGTTTGCTTGATAAATGCTGTATATGAAGTATAGAGCTGCTTCGTGCTGCTCTTGAGTCCAGACAGTAAGTTTATGGAGCATCAGAAACAAAAGAATGAGAAACTCTGCTAAGATTATTATGTTCTGATTTCTAGGGCAATGAGTTAGATTTCAATTATTACAGTATGTTAGGGAAACTTTGATCTCTATGTTTGGATCAAACTTCAGTTAATAGCTGTCCCTAAGTATCTGGTCTGAGATTGGCTCCAGGAACTATAGAGATACCAAAAGTCCCGATACAAAATGGCAGAGTAATTACATGCAATTTATACACATATACTTTAATCTAGATGACATAATTTTACACTGTAAATACTACGTAAGTAGTTCCTCCTGTATTGGTTAGGGAATCAGAAAGAAAAGTCATCTGCATGTTCAAATGCAACCATCTTAGACCTGTTGACATGGTATGTTGTTTTTGTTTTGTTTTAATTAGGTTTGGGGTCCTGATGGTACTAAGGGCTTACTCGTTGCTCTGCACGTAGAGGTCACTTCTGGCAGGCTTGGGATCAAGCCCAGGCCAACTGTGTGCAAGGCAAGCGCCTTACCTACTGCGCTGTCACTTATCCCCGTATATAAATTTTTTTTAATCCAAAGTTGGTTGTATTTGAAACCCAGGGATAAGGAGTATTTTTGTTTCATATTTGTTTGTGAGTGCAACACCAGTGATGGTCAGGGCTTATTTCTGGCTCTGTTCAGGTATTACTCCCAATCAAGTCAAGGATACTAGATGTGGTGCTGGATATTGAACCTGAGTTGGCCTGTGTAAGGCAACGTCCTACCTCTAGCCAAGGGTAAGGAATTGGAATTCTATAAATACTTTTAGCAAAGTGTGATCCTTCCAAAATAGTTGTAAGGGGCCAGAGTGCTAGAACAGCAGGTAGGGCACTTACCTTCCAAGAGGCTTGCCTGGGTTCAGTCCTTGGCACCCAATATTGTCCCCTCCAAACAAAACAAAAATAGTTGCAAAAAGAATAAAAGCTAGTCAAGGCTCCTGGTTATCTTCTCGTACCTGCCCAAAATTGCATCCCTTAATTTTGCTGTGGTATCTTGCAGGAAGGCAGAAGAACCAGAAGCTCGGGATGAATGTACTCCCCGTCGGACAAACAGAAAGAGTTCGCTCTTGACCTTGAAGCGGATTAGACAACAGCTTCGGTATGACTGCTCCTTGATAAGCAGGCAAACATTTGTCACTGCCATCTGTGACATCTGTCATTTTATTTCTCATGTTGTTTGTTAATTGCTAATCTAAGATTCATCTTTCATGTCTACAATTCTGTACATTTTACATAAAGTTCATAGTTTGAATGGGGGGCAGTAACCCCTGTTCCCACTCAGCAAGACTTAAGCAATGAACGCTTAAGAGTTTGATTCTCTTAGATTCAGGTTTGAACCCATATCTCAGTTATTACAGTCTCGGGTTGGTTACGTAACACATTCTATTTTTTTTTTTTAATTTTTTCTTCTTTTTTTATTTAATAAATAAAAAAAACCCCTCTTCTTTAAATTAGTGAAAAACCATGAGGTACAGTTATAGGCTTACAAATTTTGTGCTTGGGTTTCAGTTATACAATGATCAAGTGCCCATCCCTCCACCAGTGCCCGTTATCCATCCCCACGGGTCCCAGCATCCCCCCCCCACCCTCATCATCCCCCCCCCCACCCCCCCCGTCCCATCCTGCCTCTGCGGCAGGGCATTCCCCCTTGTTCTCTCTCTCTTCTTTTGGGTACTGTGTTTTGCAAGAGAGGCTTTGAGTGACAATCATGTTTGGTCTATCGACTACTTTTAGCATGCTTCTCCCACCCTGGGAGGGCCCTCACAACACCCTTCATTTGGTACTCTCTTCTCTATCTGAGCTTCCTTTTCACCTAGAGCCTGTGGCTGGCCTTCCATTCATGGAGCAAAATTCCTGGTACTAATCTCAGCCATTCCTGGGTGTTAATCTCCCTTTTTGTTGCTTTATGTTCCCCAGATGAATGCAATCTTTCTGTGTCTATCCTGCTCTTTCTGACTCATTTCGCTTAACATGATACTTTCCATGTAGTACCACTTGTATGTAAATTTCATAACTTCATCTCTTGTAACAGCTACATAGTACTCCATTGTGTAAATGTACCAAAGTTTCTTTAACCAGTCATCTGTTCTTGGGCACTCAGGTTTTTTCCAGATTCTGGCTATTGTAAAGAGTGCTGCAATGAACAAACAATTGCAGATGTCACTTCAACTATACCTTTTTGCCTCTCTGGGATATATTCCCAGGAGTGCTATAGCTGGGTCAAATGGCAGATCAAATTCTAATTTTTTGAGAGTCGTCCATACTGTTTTCCAAAAGGGTTGGACCAGCCGGCATTCCCACCAACGTAACACATTCTAAACCCCCATTTCCTCATCTATAAAATGGGAATAATAATATTTCTAAGTCACAAAGTTAGAGTGGGGGTTATCGGAATAACAGGAGGTGAGCCTTTACGTCCTATTATTATGTGTCAGGAACAAGGACCCATGAAGGGCGACTTCATCCCAGGAGAGGCTGCAACGCCTCTAACCCATACTGGCTTGTTTTGCTTGTATTTAGAATCAAAACATTGACTACCAGAAAATCATGTGTCTTACATTTAGATTTTTAGGAAAACCTGAATGTGACAAAGAGAGTAATGCAAGTGACGAAGAGGAGGAAGAATTCCTGCCAGCAGCAGAGAATTCAGACTATGAAACCGAGGAGGAAGAGGTTCCTACACCACCCGTTGCTAGAAGAACACCCAGACATTCTTCCTTACAGACCCCATCCAAGACACCAAAAAAAACTGTATGGTTCTTTTAGATTGATTTTCCAGTGAAACATTCATGCCTTAATTTTAAAATTGTATAGTACAGGGGTTAAGGCACTTCTCTTAACACACTGACCTTAGTTTGTTATTTTGCATTGTATGTTGTTCTCCAAGCACTGCCAGGAGTGATCTCTAAGTACAAAGCCAGGAGTAAGTTGTGAGCACAACTGGGTTGACCTAAACCAACCAACCCCATCCCACCCCACCACCCCCTCCAAAAAAAATTGTGATGTGATGCTTGGGGTCCCTTCTTATCAACAGCTAGATTTGAGCACAGTTCTGTTATATTCAAAACTATTCCACTTGGATTATTGATGGAGAGGCCCTAAGTGAAATTCAGCACTGAAAATGAGGCCAGTAGATACTATGGTATTTTCCATTCAAGTTCATTTTAGTAGCTGAACTTCCAGAGGGAAGAATAAGAACCCGAGTGCTCATCTTTGTGTTTCCCACAGAATCTTGAAGAGGGACCAGAGAAGTAGTAGGGATTCAGGGTTATGCTTTGCATGTGACAGATCGTCTTGATCCTTGCCATATGCTGGGTGCAGCCCTGGAGACCCCACAGAGCATTGCATTCTCAGCCTCTCACACTGAACCATAACAGATGACCTGAGAATTGCTGGGAGGATCCCTCCCCCACAGGCCTTCTGACCAATGCTTGGGAAACTCCTTCACTCCCCTCCCTACTTTGCCAGTAAATTAGGTCGCAGAACAGTTTTTTCCTGATTATTGCTCAGTGGACTTTGAAACCAGAGCTGTTGGCCATATTGCTTTTTTGGTACCATATGGTACACCTGAGTAGCTGGAAACACTACTTAGTGCTGTGAATAGCAGGGAGGTGACGAGATGAATGCATGTCTTTTTTCTTTGTACATGTGGGGTGTGTGTTTTGCCACTGAGTGTCTCAAGACCCTGAAGTCCAACCCGATAATCTCCGGAGTTCAGAATTTCTTTTTCTTCTCCTGACCAGGAGCTCATAGATGTTTGGCCTTTAAATGGGCAGGTCTAAGTGCTTTCTGGCTCAGGGAGACTGGGGGAGTTGCTGTGGCATGGAACCAGGCTAGAAGCAGAGGGTGGTGGGCGGAAGCGAGTCATTTGTGGAATCCATGTGCAGATGGGGTAGCAGTCCTGCTCCAGTCAGCAGGAAAACACAGGGAAAGGCACCGTTAGACTACACTGACGCCGGTCGTTCGCGAGAAATCTTCTAGACTGCAGAAGTACCATGCTATAGTTTGACTGTCTTTTCAAACAATTCTAGGGGAGAATTATAAGAATTGAACCATTTGTACTGCCTATTCTACCTTGTTTGGGGTAGAGAATTTATAATTTCTTAAATATTTCTTGTCTTCTGGGACTAGAGAGAAAATACATGGTTTAAGACACTTGGTCTCATGCATGGCTGACCCCAGTTTGATTTCTGGCACCTTGTCTGGTTCCCAGAGCACTGCCAGGAGTAAGCCTGGAGCACAGCCATGTGTGGCCCCAAGAGAAGAAACCCAAGTAACTTTGTAATACTCAATCCATGCTTTTTTCATTCCTTTCTCAACTTGATACTGTTTTCAAATCCTAATTATGGAAATTAGACAAAAGAAATGTAGTTTGGGGGGCTGGAGCGATAGCACAGCGGGTAGGGTGTTTGCCTTGCACGCAGCCGACCCAGGTTCGATTCCCAGCATCCCATATGGTCCCCTGAGTGCATGAGCCAGGAGTAACCCCTGTGCATTGCCGGGTGTGACCAAGAAAGCAAAAAAAAAAAGAAATGTAGTTTGGGACTGGAGCATTAACACGGGGTTAAATGCACGCAGCAGAACCCTCTTCGAATCCCCAACACAACACATCGTCCTCCCGGCACCACCAGGAGTGATCTTTCAACATCAAACCAGGAATCAGCACTGGAGCAGCTGGGTGGAGCACAATAACAAGACAAATAAATGGTGTTTTGATAAGTGCAAAGAGTATCCTGCGAGGTGACACAGGGACAGGGCTTTCTGGAAGAACGAAAGAATTCACCGCTTTGCTATACGAGATTTGTTCTAGATGATGTTTTGCTGCTTTTCCCTTCTGAAATGTATTCTCTCTCTCTTTTTTATTCTCTTTTTTAAATGCAGGCGAAGCCTAGAGCAGCACGTGATGCCACACCACAGATTCGCAGCCGTAGCCTGGCTGCCCAGGAACCAAGCAGCATGCTGGAAAAGGCCAGGCTGAGGTGGGGAAGCTTGCACGTGAAAAGGGACCCCCTCCTTTTCACGTAGAAGGGGGTGTTTTATAGTCCATTGTGGACATAGTAAAGGGAGAGAGTTGAGTGCGTGTAGAAAAGAACATACCTCAGAGCCACACAGAGGATAATATTGGGCTTCAGGCTTTTCCCTTACATGTGGCCAACCCTGGTTTGATCCCTGACAACTGCATATGATCCCCTGAGCATTGTCAGGTGAGGCCTAAAAACCGGAAAAAAAAAAAAGAAATTCCAAATAGATCCTTCTCGAGTAGAGCCTAAGGGAGCCAATGTAGAGGTTTCTCCTTCTGGACAAGTTTTTCCAGATTACTGCCCTATTTTCTCAGAGAGAGGTGATTGGTCAGGATATTGCTTCTCAGTTGGAATCTCCTTTATGTGGGGGGAAATTTGTAACCCAGGATCTTGTCAGAAATCAGCCGACTCCTGTGAGATGAAGTTTTCCACACATGATTTGGGGGAGACGCCCCAGGGTCATTTACCCTGGCTTAGAAACACTGAGTTGAGTGGTGTTGAGGAGGGCGTGGGGTGGAGGTTTGCTTCTGATTCTGAGGCCTAATGAAGGGATTTAGGATAAAGGCATCATCTTGGATTTGTGAATGTGTTTTCCTTACCACCTGTGAGTTTGAAGATGGTATAGTCTTTCTAAAGTCTATATATTTTAGTCAATACTAAAACCGTTGCCTCATTTAGGCTGCATGTTTCTGCTGTACCTGAGTCTCTTCCCTGTCGGGAACAAGAATTTCAAGACATCTACAATTTTGTGGAAAGCAAGCTCCTTGACCATACTGGGGGGTGAGTTATATTGAGGCGTGTAGGAGACTGGGGTACAAAGCCTCTGCTGGTAATTACTATAACACCTCGGGTTTATATTTCAACTAAGTAATATTTCCCTGTTATCAGGAGAACTGGCAGCCATTGCTTAACATGAAAGCTTCTAATTGTTTTTTTTAATGTAGGAGTACTGCTATTTATTCAGCCACTGATTAACTGATTGAATTGTGCATGAACTCCACCTTACTTTTTTTTCCATTTTTTTATCATTTTATTTATTGAATCACCATGAGAGCAGTTACAAAGCTTTCAGGTCTAAGTCTTGGTCATACAATGAAACACCCATACCTTCACCAGTGCCCATTCTCCACCCCCAACAACCCCATTATACCCCCATCTCACACCCTCCCCCTACCTGTGGGGCAGATGATTTCCACATTACTCTATCTCTACTTTGATCACATTCAATATTTTGACACCAGACCCATCATTATTATTTGAGATTTTAGCGATAGCACAGCGGGTAGGGCGTTCGCCTTACAAGCGGCCAACATGGCCGACCCGAGTTCGATTCCTCTGCCCCTCTCGGAGAGCCCAGCAAGCTACCGAGAGTATCTCGCCCGCACAGCAGAGCCTGGCAAGCCACCTGTGATGTATTCGATATGCCAAACACAGTAACAACAAAGTCTCCAATGGAGACGTTACTGGCCCCGCTCGAGCAAATCGACGATCAACGGGAGGGCCTTTACCTTTACCTTTACCTTTACCTTACCCCAACATTCAGATATGCTGAAAAGGCAACAGTAGACAATTTGTTTTCTATTGCTGGCTATGAATAACATATGATGTTGCGTGGCTGCAGTAGTGATCACACGATTTTGAAATTTTAACTCTTAAATCTGGAGGGATTTCTGCCAAAACCTGCTGGGTTCCGAGATTTGCTCCTGAGTCTCTGGGATCATGGCCGTTAAGCAGCTTGATCAGGAGCCAGAAAGGCCGTTTGTGTGCGATGACTTGGGGTCTCGTTGGGATGGGGAGGACAGGACCAGCTCCACCCCCATCCTGTGAGGCCCAAAATGTCTCGTCACTGCGGACCCAAACCTGACTGCCCAGTGGCCTCTGGAGGATGACGGCCACCGAGCCACCAGGGGGAAGCAGGCGGAGGGAAAACACCCTTCCCCCCCTGGGGTGGCCTGGCGACAGTAAACTACTGTGTGGTCTGGACGCATTTCTGCCAAAAGCCGCTGGGTTTCGATATTTGTTTGAGTCTCTGGGATCATGGCCGTCAGGCAGCTTGATCAGGAGCCAGAGAGGCCATTCGTGGGCGATGACTTGGGGTCTTGATGGGGTGGGTAGGACAGGACCGGCTACACCCCCATCCCGTGAGGCCCTGCGTGTCTCGTCACTGCGGGCCCAAACCTGACTGTCCAGTGGCTTCTGGAGGATGGCGGCCACCGAGCCGCCAGGGGGAACAGGCCAAGGCACGAAACCTATTCCCACTTGGGTTGGCCCAGCATCGGTAACCTACTGAAGGGACCGGACGCATTTCTGCCAAAAGCCACTAGGTTTCGAGACTTGTTTCTGAATCTCTGGGATCATGGCCATTAAGCAGTTCGATCAGGAACCAGAGAGGCCATGCCTCCAGTTATATAGCTGAGCCGGAGGTGGTTTGTGGGTGTGTTTCCCACATACCTAACTTTTGGCCGTTTACTTTCTTGGTAAACTTTGCCCAAGTTTTTGGGGTCTGGCCAAAGGCACAGCAGCAATTTTGGGGTATCTGGAAGTCTGAAGGTGCCATCAAGCTGCTGACTCACAGGTACAGATTGACCTGCTGGTGGCACCATACCCCCTCTGACATGGTTTTTGATAGAAATAGAAGTTCTGCTTTCAGAGCCTTGCATGTGGCCGGCTTCCCATATGGTACCCTGAGCACCGCCTGGAGCAATTCCTGAGTGCAGAACCAGATGTAACCCCTTGAGCATCACCAGAGGTGGCCCTTCCTCACCCCCTTACTCACAGCCCCCCCAAAAAGTTTTCTGCTTTCAGAGAAAATGCAACTGGCATACAGCATCATTTGGGGATAGAGTGAATCTAAGTATGCAGACCCCGCTCGGACTAGCCTAAGGTGGTCCTTGCTGCCCTATGCCTACGTCTGCTGGGGGAGGAGGAGAGGAGGGCAGCTCTGCTTGTCCTTCAGGACACATTTATAAAAATCCTGACAGGCGAGACAGGTTCTGGCACACACCTAACCCACACGTCTTCCTTCTGGCCTAGGTGCATGTATATCTCTGGGGTCCCTGGGACCGGGAAAACTGCCACTGTGCATGAGGTGATGCGCTGTCTGCAGCAGGCAGCCCAAACAAATGATGTCCCTCCCTTTCAATACATCGAGGTGAATGGCATGAAGCTGACAGAGCCCCACCAAGTGTACGTGCAAATCTTCCAGGTAAGCAGAGCTGCTTGGGCCTCGGTGGCACACGAGAAGGGAAAGGTTTTTTTGTATGATTACTTGTCTATGACATGCCAGGCATCACCCTTTGTGTAGAGGGAACTAAATGGAGGAGGAGGAAGAATGAATACCTTCTAGGATCTTAAAATCTAGGAGCCAGTGAATGAATAACTGGATGAAATTCAGGACTTTGCAATAAAGTGAAAACCACTCACAGAGGAGACAGTGTGATAGACTATATAAAAGATTTAGAGGTTGGTTAGGGTTTGTACTTCTCTGTTTTCATTGACCGACTGTTTTCTTGGATAAGTGACATCTCCGAGTAGGGCCGTGTGGCAGCGGTACATTGGGGCAGGTATGTTTGTCTTGCATGTGGCTGACTCAGCTTTGCTCCCTGACACCATATATGGTTCCCTTCCTGGAATCCACCAGGAGTGAGCCCTGAGCGCAGAACCAGGAATAATTCCCGAACACTACTGGGTGTGGCCCCCCAAACCAAAAATAAGTAAATAAAACCATGTAGTGGTGTTTTTTGAGCGGTAATTTTGGCATCTGGTCTTTTTGTTTGTTTTTAAGATTTACCCAGCCTTGCTCGGTGCTACCTCTTGCTTAGTGCTCAGCAGGTCACTCTTTGACCTGCTGCATTGCACCATTTCGTTTGCATGTTAAACAGAATTTCTCTTTCTTTTTTGGTTTGTTTTTGGTTTGGGGCCATATCTAGTGGTGCTCATGGCTTACTCCTGGTTCTGCACTCGGGGATCACGCCTGAGAGGGGATGGGGGACCATATGGGAGGCTGGGGATTATACATGGGTTGGCCATGTGTGAGGCAAGCACCCTTCGTGCTGCAATATTGCTTCAGTTCTTAAACAGAAGTTGTTTTTAAACTTCTTGATCCTTTCTGTCTCAGCTTAAGGTTTAGGTTAGAGGCTGGGAACTGGGGGTCTGACTCAGTGACAGGGCACTTGCCTTGCTTATATGAAACCTTGGGTTCAATTCCTAGCACTGCCTGGTCCTCTAAGCACCCGCAAGAGTGACCTGCTGAGCACTAAGCAAGAGGTAGCACCGAGCAAGGCTGGGTAAATCTTAAAAACAAACAAAAAGACCAGATGCCAAGAAACGTGGCTCAGTGGTAGAATGCATGTCTCACTTTGGTGTAGTTGATTTCAATCCTCTGTGCCACTAACGAACAAAAACCCAAAGGCCAATGGTAGAGGACAATGAAGTCCTTAGCCTAAATAGCTTCTTCTATTTGAAAATCGAAACCCACGAGTTTAACATAACTCTGTATAACGATAACTTTGCATCTACTGTTTTCTCCCCATTTCTTTCCACTGCAGAAACTGACAGGCCAAAAAGTGACAGCTAACCATGCCGCGGAACTGCTGGCAAAGAGATTCAGCTCCCGAAGTTCTTCCCAGGAAACCACCGTGCTGCTCGTGGATGAGGTAAGGAATTGCCTGTGGCAGGATGGGAAAGGTGGACATGGTTCCTAACGGCACTGTTTCCGGTGCAGTACTGGCCCGGCAAAGAGGCCTCGCTCCCTTATTCTCCTATACTCTTCTCTGGTGGTGACAGGCACATAACGGTGACTTCCTTGCTCCTTGGTGTGTCCTGAAAAGCTTAAGTGGTGGTCACAGATCCTTCCAAGGGGGCCCGGCTTTGTCTGTGGTTGTTCCTGCATCTCTCTCCATTTTTCTGGCAGCTTGACCTTCTCTGGACTCAGAAACAAGATGTACTGTACAATCTCTTCGATTGGCCTTCTCACAAGGGTGCCAGGCTTGTGGTCTTGACCATTGCCAATACCATGGACCTGCCAGAGCGTATCATGATGAACCGGGTATCGAGTCGACTGGTAAGTTCTAGAACTGCTCTCATACAGATCCATAGAAGCTGGCTTAAAGAATCGCAGAAATGTCTGACTAGGGCCTCAGCGGCTAAGCATGTCTGCCTTGCAAGGGTAAGGTCATGAATTCGGCTGTCAGGGCTGCTTCTGGTGCTGAGCATGGTTCCGACAGCTCTGGTGTCTTAGATCCCTGGTGCTGCAAGCAAGAACCGGGTGTCTGAGAGTAACACAACTAAAGGGGCGTAATGTCTGGTGATCACTCCTCGTGGGGCTTGAGGAACCACGTGCAGTGCTGGGGCTTCAAACTGGGATTTTTGGGATACCAGGCCTTACCCACTGTGCTATCTCTCTGGCTTTGTCAATTGTTTTGTGAGGCTTGGAACAGGTTTGGGGGCTCAAGGGTGGCTTCCCATTCTGACTACCGGGGCGTGACCAGTGACGTTGACCCTCTGTCATCTTGCCTCCCAGGGTCTCACCCGGATGTCCTTCCAGCCCTATACCCACAGCCAGTTGCAGCAGATCCTGCTGTCGCGCCTCAAACATTTAAAGGCCTTCGAGGACGATGCTGTCCAGCTTGTAAGCAGGAAGGTAAGCGTGCAGGAAGTTTTTAGGGTGCCATAAGCCAGTTGGTAGGTTTGTGTGGATGGTCTGCTGGATGCTCACATCCTTGTGCCGAAGCAAGGAATGAAGAGAAATTTAGAAAGTAAATCCTGATAAAAGCAAGTAACCAAAGGTAAAGGTAAGGTAAAGGCCCTCCCATTGATCGTCGATTTGCTCGAGCGGGCCCAGTAACGTCTCCATTGGAGACTTTGTTGTTACTGTGTCTGGCATATCGAATACTCTCGGTAGCTTGCCGGGCTCTCCGAGAGGGGCGGAGGAATCGAACTCGGGTCAGCCATGTTGGCCGCTTGTAAGGTGAACGCCCTACCCGCTGTGCTATCGCTCCAGCCCAAAAATGAACCAAAAATGAAACAAAATTCTACGATAACTTTTTACTCTCTTTAGAAGGCTTTGAAGTATGTGGGGCTTAAACTGACTCAGGTAGCAAGCAGCTTTGTTTAACAAAAAGACAATATAGTTCATCAAATAGGGAAATTTGCTTTGAATTCTGACTCTAATTATTGAAGAGTTACTTTAAAATTTCCTGCACCTCACCTCTTTGCTGGAAAAGAATAGTAGTAATATAAAGCTGCCAGAGGTCATCGTGAGGATTAATGAGGTCATGTCTGTCAGGTAAGGAGCAGGGGGCACAGCACTGAATGCAATGTATCGATTCCTGCATTCTCTAAGATCACCAGAGAGTACCAGCTGAGAGACGGTCCCTGCAGCTACTGAGCAACAAAGGTTCGGGACTTCTCTCCAGCTGAGGGAAAGAGACCACACATACTGATTTCCAGCATGTAAAATAATTCTGGGGGGCTGGAGAGATTAAGACTGCAGTGGTTAAGACCTTGTTTTTCATCCTGACCCAGGTTCAGTTCCTGGCTCCATGTTGTCCCCTGAGTTCCATCAAGAATAACCCCTCAGGGGCTGGAGCCATAGAACAGTGGGTAGGGTGTTTGCCTTGCATATGGCCGACCCAGGTTCGATTCCCAGCATCCCATATGGTCCCCTAAGCACCGCCAGGAGTAATTCCTGAGTGCAAAGCCAGGAGTAATCCCCTGTGCATCACTGGGTGTGACCCAAAAAGGAAAAAAAAAAAGCCCTGCGCACAGCCAGGTGTAATTCCCTCTTCACCCCAACTCATAGCTCTCCCCCGTCGCCCAACGGAAAAAAAACTAGAAATAATAATAGTACATTATAAAATGTTTTGAGCCAATCTTGTGAAGATAGTGAGATGCACATTAAATAGCGCTGCCTTGCACGTGTCCAACCCAGGTTCTGTCCCTGGCACCACATATGGTCCCCAGGAGTGATCCCTGAACTCAGAACCAGGAGTACACTGTGAACACTTCCGGGTGTGACCCAAAAACAACCACCACCATCATCCCCTCTCTTTTTTTTTTTTAAAACTTATTCCAGGAAGGGAACGGTGGTGCCAGTTCTAAGAATTTAAGTGACAGATGCATTGGATATCTTACTGCAAATTCGTGCAGTAGGGGTGCCCCAGCTGCAGAATGGAGTCGCAACGGGGCCTCTGAGTCTCCTGGCTACTGCTGATGTTGTCTGATGATGTTTGCAGGGACAGTAGAGCTGATGGTGCTAGCAGAGACTGTCTCAGCCTGTTGGGTGTAAGGGAATTAAGTGAGGTATCACTTTAAAGGCTTTTGCTAGACCACTTCACCCAAGTTCTTGTGTTTTTCTCCTGGGCTGAGATGGCCAGGAAGCCTCAATAAAATGTTCCTCTTGTAGGTAGCAGCCCTCTCTGGAGATGCACGCCGCTGCCTGGACATCTGTAGGCGGGCCACAGAGATCTGTGAGTTCAGCCAGAAGCCCGGCTCCTCTGGCCTGGTCACTGTGGCCCACTTACTGGAAGCAGTGGATGAGATGTTTTTGTCATCATACATCACTGCCATCAAGTAAGATGCTTTTGCTTCCTGATGCTGACCTGGGGCACAAGGCTGGGAGGTTCAGGGAGACGTGTGTCCCTTCTTGTATTCTACCTACATTTATTGAAGACACTTCCTTACAGGCATAGTCTAGTCAGGGACACTGAAATTTAGCCCAGTAATAGATGAATAATTACTGTTTATTGTTTATTTCTAGGACTTTAGCAAAATAAAGTGCTGTAGGTCAAAGATGGAACCACTTCCTTCCCTTGGCTCTGACTGGTACATTCAGCTCAATGCTACATGAGATGGGGTGCTGTTATACAGCCAGACAGTTGCTATGTTCCCTCACTTGCAAAGTGGCTCTTACATATCATTTTGAGACCTTGGGAGTTGGATTCTCATTGCCAAATAGTACAGGAGAAATATTTCCTGGTTTTTTTTCCACTTCTCTAAAGACACAAACCGTTTTTGCTTTACCTCTTGGCTGGTGGTGCAACCACTGAGGAGAATTCACACTTTGTTCTCTTTAAGAAATTCTTCCGTTCTGGAACAGAACTTCCTGAGGGCCATCCTTGCAGAGTTCCGTCGGTCAGGATTGGAGGAAGCAACATTTCAACAGGTGATTGATCTCTTTTTTATTTTAAGTTTTGGGTCTGGGTTTTTTTTTTGTGTGTGTGTGTGTGTGTGTGTGTGTGTGTGTGTGTGTGTGTATGTGTGAGATACTCAGGGGTTATTCCTGCATCGGCATTTAGGAATCATTCCTGACAGTGCCTGAGGGAGCATATGGGCTGCCAGGGATCAAACCTTTGAAAGGCAAGTGCCTTACCTACTCTGAGGGAGGGGGCTAGAGCCATACTTTCATACAGGAATTACTCCCTGGCGGTACTAAAGGGACCATATAGGGATTGAACCTGCGTTAGCCATGTACAAGGCAAACACCCTACCTGCCGTACTATCTATCACTCTGGCCCCCGGGAGTAATTCCTGAGTGCAGAGCCAGGAGTAGTTCCTGAGCATCTCTGAGTGTACCTCACCCTCCCCCCCCCAAAAAGAAGTTATGTCATATTGGGGGCAAAACTTTCAGAACAATTTTATGCAGTTTAAAAGCAAAAGATCTGTCCAAACACTCCTTGGATTCATTATGGTTTATGCTATTAGTGGTTTATTCAAAACTGGTATTTACATATAATGGCCTGCCTTAGCAGATGAATTAGGTTTTGTTTAATTTGGTCTTAGGGCCAGACATAGCAGGACTCAGGGACCATGTGTGGTGCCAGGGATCAAACTCAGGTCATCCTTATGCAAGGCAAGCGCCTACCCCTTTACTATCTCCAGTGCCAGAAAAGAACTGGTAAAGACATTTGAGTATAATTGGATTATGTATGACTGTTTTCCATCTCAAAAGCAAGTTAGGAGAATATAGCAGCTACTTCTTTCCTTCCTTTTTGCTTTTCTTCACTTTATATTTTTTGTTTCACAGTAGGGGGCAGTATTTATTCATATTACATATTAAGACACTGACATCGTTCCTCATAGTTGAGTTTCGGGTATACAATATTCCCACTTTGATCCCACCACTAGCATCAACTTCCCTCCACCCTTGTCCCCAGGTTCCCTCCAGTCTCCTTCTTGTCTCTTTAACGGGCATGACAGCATTTAATAAAAATAAATAAATAAATAAGTCGGGCCAGAGCAGTAGTACATAGTGTGTTTGCCTTGCATGCGGCTAACCTGGGTGCAGTTCTTGACATGCAGAGCTCACAAGGAGTGACCTCTGAGTGCAGAGTCAGAAGTAAGCCCTCAAAACCATTGGATGCAGCCCCAAAACAACAAAATTTTCCCTTTCCTTTTCCCCTCCCCCAGTTGTTCCTCTGAATAGGAATCACACTTGGCTGAGTGGTGTGTTATTTACGATGCTCACTGGGGTTCCAACTCATGGTTGTGACACCGGGGATCACAATTGGCTCTGCTGGTCTGGGAGCAAAAGTACAGCGGGTGAGGCACTTGCCTTGCACACAGCTGATACAGATTCAATCCCCAGCACCCCATGTGGTTCCCTGAGCACCACCAGGAGCAATTCTCAAGTGCAGAGCCAGGAGTAAGCCCAAGCTTTACTAGGTATACTCCTACCACCTTTTTTTTAAAGCACACACACACACAGTAACTTGCTTGGGGCTTGCATTTTTTAGTAACTGAATGAAGATTCGGAGCTGTCCTCTAATTTTGAAGCCAACACTGCAGTCTGCTCCTGCATTTATGCCCCTCTGGGCATCCTTTGTTACCCATGAAGCACCTGGACTAGAAAGTGTCTGATTTTCCTAAAAGAATAAGCAGGATTGCTTTTCCTTTTAGCCTTTCTTGCAGCTGACTTCAGATTTGCTTCTTGTGTCTAGATTTACAGTCAGCACGTTGCATTGTGCCGGATGGAGGGTCTACCCTATCCGACCATATCAGAGACCATGGCGGTGTGCACTAACCTGGGTGCCTGCCGCCTTCTCCTCATGGAGTCCAGCAGGAACGACCTGCTCCTCCGGGTGCGGCTCAACGTCAGCCAGGATGATGTGTTGTACGCGCTGAAAGAATGAGGTGTTTCAGAGCAGTGACTGATCAAGGATCTGGATTTCATCTCAAATGTATATGAAACTGTCATGTGTTTTGAGACTTTTTTTTGTCCTGGTGTTTGGTTAATTTATGGATATTATAAAATGGCATTTGTAAAATTAATAATTTGGAGACGTGGGTTGGGGAGGCCCAAGGGGAGCACACACCAGAGGCCCTGGTCCAAGTATCCAGAACACGCGTGTCTCCCCCGAACCCAAGATGATCATAATGAAATGAAATCATTCTGTAATATGTCCTCTGGCTTTTCATTTTTGTCATTTCACATCACGTATGTTGGTATGCTAAATTGCACATTTTCGTTCTGGGAGTAAATATAAAACTTGGTTACATCTGAGAAATAACTAGATGATCTATCTGAGCAATCATCTAAGACTGAAAGGAGGTACTGAAAACTGTCCCAAGCAAACAGGAAGATCTTTGAATCTGCTAACCTGAAAACAGGCCAGTGTCAGGGAGTGGCTACTTCTGGAAGATTCCAGCTCCACTCACTGCATTTCTGGGTGTTAAACGGTGTCACGAAGAGGTGCCCCCGTGACACTGCCTGGCTGAAGTGTTAAGTGCCCTTTGCAGGGAACAGGTGCGCTCAGGTAGCCAAGGGAGGATTCTAAAAGCCCTGAGAGGGGCTGCAGCGCCCCGCGCCGGGGCCCTTCAACGGAGCTACCTGCCGGCCGGCGCCTGCGCGCCCCGCGCCCCGGTCACCTGTCGGCGCGCCCCGCCCTCTCGCCAGGCGCATGCGCGAGCTCCGCCGCGCGCGGGCCGATCACGTGTTCGGCGCTGGGCGTCTCCCGGGGGGCGCTTCCTGTCAGTGCGGCGGCGGCTGAGGGGCCGCGGGAGCCGGGGCGGTGCCAGGCGGGACAAGGCCGGGTTGGTCTCGGATCCGCCGCGAGGTATGCCACGTCCCCGCCCCCGGCGTGGGGAGCTGCGGGGCCGGCGGGGATCGGAGGCGGCGCTGCCCCCACCCCCGCGCGTCCCGCTGCCCACGCTCCCGAGCTGGCCCCGGGGCTGCCCGGCCGGGTGGCGTCCCGAGCCGGCCCGGCCCCCGCGCCCAGTCCGGTCACGGCGTCCGAGCGAGCCCGGGCGCCCTCTGCCGTGCGCCCACGCCTCCGCGACCCCCGGCGCAGGAATCCTCTGGTCTGCAGCCGGCGCCGCCCCCGCCGGCGCGGGGACCGTTGCAAGCAGCGCCCGGCGCCCGTGCGCCCCCCTGCCCTGTCGCAGACCGAGGCGGCTTCCGAGCCGCGCCCCGCCCGACGCGCGCAGCCCTCAGCGTAGTGCCCGGCCGCCTCCCCGGCCCCGGGCTCGCCGCCTCCCCCTCCTGCCCTCCGTGCGGCGCGCTGGACCCACTCCCACCTCCCACTGGATGCCCGCCGCCCAGCACCGCAGTTCCTGGTGCCAGGCACACTTTCTGCCCCCAGACCCAGCATCAGGTGGTTCCTCCGCCGTAATCCCATTCGCTCCCGCGGCTGCTTCCCCGCTCAGCGCCGGCCTCTGGCTCAGCACCTGCCGGGCTGCGTCCCCGCTTGAGGCCGTCGCCCCGAAGGTCTGCTGGACTGAGACCGGACGCCCCACCCCGCCTCCGCCCCGACCCCACGCCCCAGCCCTAGCTCGGCGCCCACCCACAGCTGGGCCCGGCAGCAATGAACGGCTGTGAAGAATCCGAATGCCGGGTCGGGTTTCTCTAGCGCAGAACCCTCCGGTGGAACTTTGTGCAGGGGCAAAAGTGTCCGATATGTGCAATGACCACATCCAGGCCCCTGGTCATCTGTGTGTAGCGTGGCTGGGGAACTGGATGCTGGACTTGACAGAATTTGCATTTTCACTGCTGTGACAAGACAGCTCTAGAGCCTTTATGAATTCCACCTGGCCTGTGGCCGCCCCGTACCCAGAGGGACTTTCTTGAATCCGTCTTTCCCCTTTCAGCCTCTGGGCTTTACAGCCATAGTTGTTGTCTTTGACATGTTGTTGGATTTCGGGTAAGTGCTCAGAGGCTGGCTCCTGGCACTGTGCACGGGGCCCCTCCTGACAGTCGGGGACCATATGTGGCAGCCTACCTGTGCTACTGTTCTCTCTAGTCCCATCAATAACGTCTTAATATGTGCCCACACTTCCTGCCACCCCCATTCCAGGTGGTTCCATCCTCTGGCTCCCTTGTTGTAGGCTACGGTGCTGTGCTTCCAAGATCTGGGCTAGCTCCCCTTTTTCCTTTTGTGGTGGTCACTGACCACATGTCCACAGGTAACTGCAGCTTGGGGGACAGTGGGGAGTGTAGCACGTTCCAATCTCATCCATTCCCCAACAGATTCCCAAGATGCCAAAACCAAGGAAGGGCCCTCGAGCCGGTGGTCAGGGTGTGGCAGCTGCCAAACAGGTATGGATGTGGTCACAGCCTCCTTCACCCCTAAGCTAGTCTGGCCTGCGGGGGGCACAGGGCAAGTAGGGGGGCCCTGGAGTACAGCTTGGGCAAACTGGGTCACCTGATAGTTTTTCCAGTGCTGCCCTTGGGTTGGCAAGTGCCTGAGATCTCTTTTTTGTGTGTTTTTGTTTTGCGGCCGTACCCCCGTACCCGGCAGTGCTCAGGGATTGGTGCTGGGGATTGAACCAATTTTGGCCATGTGCAGCGAGGCAAGCGCCCTACCTACCGTACTGTCCCTTACTGCCCCCTGTTTGTATTACCTTAAAAGAGGCAGGTAAGGTGGTGGGATAAAGGACCGAGACTCAAATCATAAGATTTTGTTTCAAAAATCTGCTCTGCTGCCCACAACGCGATCTCAGTTTTATCTGAACATAAAAATAGTACGTGGGGCTAGAATTTCTGTTTTGCCGGACCGAGAGTTCTGTGGCTAGAGGGTAGTGATGGCAGCACAACGGCCTGAAACTGCCACTGAATTGTGGCATAAAATGGTTGGACTGAGTGGAGTTCATGCCCAATTCAATCAGCCTAATCAGTGACTGAATAAATAGCAATACTCCTACATTAAAATAGCATTGTAGCACTGTCCTTCCGTTATTCATCGATTTGCTCGAGCGGGCCCGGTAATGTCTCCATTGTGAGACTTGTTGTTACTGTGTGTGGCATATCGAATATGTCACAGGTAGCTTGCCAGGCTTTGCCATGCAGGCAAGATACTCTCGGTAGCTTGCAGGGCTCTCCGAGAGGGGCGGAGGAATTAACTCGGGTCAGCCGGGTTGGCCGCGTATAAGGCAAACGCCCTACTCGCTATGCTATCACTCCATCCCACGTTAAAAAAAAAAAATGGTTGGACTGAAGGGACAGTAGTACCAGAAAGAAGGTGCCATGGGCAGGGCACTGGCCCTGTGCATTTGGCTGACCTGGGTTCACTCCCCAAGCACCACCAGGAGTGATCTCTGAGCACAGCCAGTGTACCCGCCAGCTTCCCCTCTCCACGTGGTTAAGACGATATTTTTTTTGTTTTGCTTTTTGGGTCACACCTGGCGATGCTCAGGGGTTACTCCTGGCTTTGCACTCAGGAATTACTCCTGGTGGTGCTCAGGAGACCATATGGGATGCAGGAATTGAACCTGTGTCAGCCACGTGCAAGGCAAATGCCCTACCTGCTGTGCTATCACTCCGGCCCCCAAGATGATAATTTTCATGTTTATGTATATTTTTACCATGCAAACCAATCTGGGCCTTCCTCTGAGAATTGTGGGGACAGATAGCCAGGTGGCCTGCTCAGTGCAGTGCTCGGCGGCGCTTGCCGTTATTATCATGACAGCACTGTAGCCTTCCCATGGCCTTTCTACTGCCACCAGGAAGATAAGTGTCCCTTCTTGCACACTGGACTCACAGAGCTTGAAGGAACCGCTAGCCGGGCCATCGGGAGCTCAGGGCCGTGGACTGTCTCTCCCTGTCTCCCCATGTCCTCCCTGACACCTTCTCTGCTCTCAGCTGGGGCTCTTTGTTGAGCTCAGTGAGGACGACATGCTGATGGGCGTGGAGGAGCCTGTTGATGACGCGGACCTGGAGGCTGAGCTGCTGGCCCTCACCGGGGAGGCAGGGACCCCAGATCGGAAGCCAAAGCCCCAGGGGCGGGGTGAGTGTGATGTGCCCAGGTGTGGGGCTGGCATGGGACTCCAACTCACCTGCGCTTCTCATAGCACTGCATGACCCCTCAAACACTGCTTGGAAGGGCCTCTGCCATCACAGAGAAAATGGCCCTCCCTCTCTGCACTGCCCTCCCGCATTAGACGGGTGTCGCCTACCTCCTAGACCAGCACTTCAGCTCTCAGGCTGGCCCTCGTTGGGCCCCACGGAAAGTAGGCCGAGGAGGTGTGTGTTTTGGGCACAGGGGCAGGAGAGAGAGTGAGGCTCAGGAGCATTCCTTGCAGGTAGCTGACCTGGGCTTGATCCCTAGCACCACCTGGTACCCAGTGCATTGCCAGGTGTGGCCCTGGAGCCCACTGAGCGGTAGCCTGAGGAATCCCCGCATGGTAGAGCCCAAGCAGCACCCCATACTCAGACCCTGTTGGCTGTAGGTGGCTGACTGTTGCTGAGCTCGCCTGATCAGCACCAGGAGGAATTCCTGAGTGCAGGGCCAGGAATAAGCCCTGAGCATCGCACTAAAACAAAGTGCACAGTCTTTGTATCAAATGAATAAGCAGATCTCTCTCCCTGCCTTTGAAGAGACCAGAGAGCTGGGGCCTGGCACTGTGGGTCTTCGTCTCTTCCGACCAGGCTCCCAGAATGGCACCTGCCATTCCATGGGCCCCTCTGCAAGGCGGGAAGGGGTGCACTGGTCTGAGAGGACCACAGCTCTCCTTTCTCTCAGTGCAGCCCTGTGGGGGTTACACAAGCCAGGGCCTGACCACTAGCTGGCTCCCAGAGGTGAGCAGGCATGTGGCGGTGGCAGGGCCATGAAGGACGGTGTTCACGGGGCACACCCACCATCACAGCACTGGAACCTACTCGGCGCCTTGGCCCATGGCTGCATCGCCCTGACCCTTTGTGCTCCTCACCCAGCCCCTCTGCCTATGGCGCACATCGAGAAGTTGGCGGCAGACTGTATGCAGGACGTGGAGGAGGAGGAGGAGGAGGAGGAAGGGCTGGAGGAAGATGCAGACTTGCTGGTATGTCTGCTGCCGGGCCGTCTGCGGAGGGGGCCAGGACATGTCCCTGTGTGCTGGTGTGTGCTAGTCACCCCTTGTGGGCTTGTTCCTAACCCGACTGTGACACTCGACTCCTGTGAGCCCAGCACACGGGGACGCTCAGAGCGGGGACATCTTCATGGTTTTCAGGACTGAGCTTGACTCACTTAGTCTCCCAGCTGAGGGGGTGGTCCTGAGGTGCAGGCTCTCGGCCCCGTGTCTCCCCAGAGTGAGCTGCAGGAGGTCCTGGGTGCGGAGGAGGAGGGTGAGGAGCCGGCCAGCGCAGGGGAGCGTGAGGAGGTGCAGGAGGACGCCGAGGCCCCGGTGTCGGCAGCTCCCCTGGCAGCACCAGCCCCTGAGGCCCAGGTAGGTTCTGGGGCTCCCGGGTTCGGGGCGCGCTCGCGGGCTCTCACAATCATTGTGCAGTGCTGCCCGAGCAGAGGCTGAGCACAAGAACGCCTTCGTGACAGGCGGGCCTCAAAGGCCTCTCTGTTCTCCCGGGCCGCCCCCCGCCACCGCTTCCTGGCTCCACAGATGGTCTGGGCCTGTGTTGGCCGCGGACACAGCCTCTGGCCTCTCCCGGGTGTCTTTGCCCCGCGCCGGGAGGCCTTGCACCCCATCTTCTGGAACCCTCGTGGGAGCAGGCAGCAGGGCCCTGACTGACCCCTCTGCAGGCTGCAGGGCCTCCGGGACTGCAGGCGCTGCTGCAGGATCGGATCCACAACTACCGGGAGGCCGTGGCCAGTGCCAAGGAGGCTGGGGACGCGGCCAAAACCAGGCGCTGTGAGCGGGGCCTGAAGGTGGGCTGGGCTGGGGGGCGGGCAGGTGGGCGCGGGGGGTGGGTCGAGGCGGCCCTGCACCGCTGCCCGTCCCCCGCACTGTCCAGGCTGAGGTGGGGGGTCTGGGTTTCTGGTTGTCGCCGTCAGACTCTCGAGTCCCAGCTGGCTGCTGTGAGGAGAGGCAGGCAGGTATGCGAGGCAGAGATCCCCCCTCCGGTGGCCTTGGGGAGGAGGACCGCAGCACCCCTGGAGAGCAGTAGCCGGAGTTCTGAGGCCGACGTGCCAGCCTCCCCCAGCCAGGAGCCAGGTATCCAAAGACGCCGGCCCTTCCCAGAGAGGCCCCCCACTCCCGGGGGGACCCCAGGCCAGCCCCTTCTCCCTGCGCCTCCTGCCTTCTCTGGACCAGTTGCTTCTCTGCAGCCAGTCCCTCTGCACCAGAGACGAGCGTCGCGGGCAGCCCCAGCATGTCGGCTCCGGCCCCGGCCCCTCAGGCGCTGCTGCTGGCCCGCCAGAGAGAGTACAAGCTGGCCGCCTTGAACGCCAAGCGGGCCGGAGACCTCGACCGCGCCCGGGAGCTCATGCGCATCGGGAAGGTGGGGGCGCCCAGGGCAGCTGGGCAGGGGGGGGCGGGGGGAGGCGCTGTGCTCAGCCCGCTTTGCTCTGCCCCAGAGGTTCGGCGCGGTGCTGGAGGCGCTGGAGCAGGGGCAGCCTGTGGATCTGAGCGCCATGCCCCCCGCACCGGAGGGTCAGTGAGTGGCGGGGGACCTGCCGGGGCTGGAGCTGGGGGTGGGGGAATCAGGGTCGGCAGTGGCTCAGCACCCCCACCTACATCTCTGCTCTGCGACCCCAGATCTGAAGTCCCTCCCGCAGGCTCCCAAGGCCCACACGGCACCCGCCACCCCAGCAGTGGAGCGAGTGCAGCCAGTCATGGCCCCGGACACCCCAGTAAGCCCAGGTAGGATGGGCCCAGGGGCCCGGGCTGGGGCTGGGGGGCTTGGGGTCTGGCGAGAGCCAGTGGCCGATGTGCTTCCACCTGCAGGCGTCCCTGCGGAGCCCCAGACCGTGCTCGATGCCCTCCAGCAGCGGCTGAACAAGTATCGCGAGGCCGGTGTCCAGGCTCGGGCCAGTGGGGATGAGCGCAAGGCCCGGATGCACGAGCGCATCGCCAAGGTGGGCCTGCTGCTCAGCCCCCGCCGGGCCGTTCTGTTCCCCGTCCTGGCCATCGGCCCACACAGCCCCCTTCCCTCCCAGCAATACCAGGACGCCATCCGGGCACACCGAGCGGGCCGCAAGGTGGACTTTGCTGAGCTACCGGTGCCCCCAGGTGAGCGGGACTGGGCCTGGGGCTCTCGGAGGGGTGGCAGAGGGGGCTGCGAGTCCTGGGAGACCTGCCCCGAGACCCCCTCAGCCCTGAAGCCATCTTCTTCCGCAGGCTTCCCCCCAATCCCAGGCTTGGAGCCCGCAGCAGGCAGCGAGGAGGACGCAATGGCGGCAACTTTAGCAGCTGCTCAGAAACTGGCTTCGGAGGATGCGGCCCCAGCAGAGGATGACGAGAATGAGGTTTGGCTGAGGGACGGGGAGGCTGAGGCCAGTGACAGGTCCTTCCTGCTGTGGCTCCTGTGGGGGTGGCCTTGAGTTAGCCTTGGAGATTGTACCAAGGGCACAGGCAGTCCAGAGCCAGGGCCGGGCACATCTCTGCATCCCCGACAGGAGGAGGCCAGTGCCCAGGCTCCGGTGGCCAAGAAGCCAGCCCAGCCACTGACCCCTGCCTCCCGGCCCCTGCCCGAGCCCAGGGCCTCCAGCTCAAAGGAGTCACCGAGTCCCTCTGGTGAGCGGGAGGAGAGGCGGGGGCAAGCGGGGGCAGGTGGGGGTAGGCGGTACCCAGCAGGCGTGCTGCAAGCCCCACTCCTTCCCCTGCAGTGCGGGAGCAGCTGGCACTGCTAGAGGCACGGAAACTGCAGTACCAGCGGGCAGCGCTGCAGGCCAAGCGGGGCCATGATCTGGAGCAGGCCAAGGCCCATCTGCGGGTGGCCAAAGTCCTGGAGGCCCAGATGGCCCAGGTCCGGGCGGGCCACCCTGTGGACCTCTCCAAGGTGAGTCCCTCCCACTGATGCCGCGCAGGCACCAGCCTGTGGACAAGATGGGCAAGGGAGTGGGAAGATGTGGGCAGCCCTCTAGGCCTCTACCCTCAGGTAGTGGCCTGTGGCCGGCGGCAATTGGGAGGCGGGCAGCAGAGCCTGGGGTCAGCGCCTGCTTTGCCTTTCTACGTTTGTCAGACTTGGAGGACTAATCTGACTCTTGGGGGCCCCTGAGGGGCTTTGTGGCTGCGCAGGTGCCTTCACCGTTGACGGACGAGGAGGGGGGCTTCATCCTCATTCACCATGAGGACCTGCGGCTCTCGCAGAAGGCTGACGAGGTGTATGCCCAGCTGCAGAAAATGCTCCTGGAGCAGCACGAGGTCAGCGCGCCGCCCTTGCCCTCCCGCTCCCCATCCCTGTTCGGAGAGGGGGTGCAGACTCCTCTTGGGAATTCCACTCAGTAGTGTTGGAGGGGCACGATGGCAGAAGCCGCGAGGGAGGCAGAGGGACCGGATTTCAGCATTTGTGAACCTGTAGACAGAAAAAGTCTCGGCGTGTCTTCCTCTTGCTGAACTTCTGCAGAATGTTTCTGTCAGCACTTGAAGCAAAACTAAGAATTTGCTAAGTAAATTTGGGAACTCGCCACCCTCTGGATAGCCAGAACAGAAGAGTCCACCCATACGTGGGGAAGGGAGATGAGAGGGGAACGAACCAGGGCATGTGTTGGCGGGGTGGGAGGCGGGGGGCACAGCAGAAGGTGGGGAGCTACCAGCAGGCAAGCCTTGAGCTGTGCTCTAGGCTTGGCCTTACTTGGGGCTCCGGTTTCCAGAAGTGTCTGCTGTTCTCCAAGCAATTCATGCACCAGGGCAACGTGGCCGAGACCACCCGGTAAGTGCTGGGCCTGGACTCTGGCCCGGATTGTGGGGGTGCATGGACAAGCGGCCCTGCTACTCGCCGTGCTTCCTCCTTGGCAGGTTTGAGAAGCTTGCTCAGGACCGCAAGAAGCAGCTGGAGATCCTGCGACTGGCCCAGGCCCAGGGCCTCGACCCTCCCGCCCACCACTTCCAGCTGAAGACGTTCCAGACCGTGAGGTGCTGAAGTCTCGGGAGACGATGCGGGGCTGGGAAGGAGGCCTGGGCTGCGGCCTAAGGGGGTCACAGACCAAACACGCTCCTAGCTCAGACAAGCCTTGCTCTCCTGGAGGCTGTGCAGTGGGGCGGGCGTTGGGAGACGGCCCTTTCCCCGCCGTTCTGCAGCTAACTCTGTCCTTGCTTCCTCCCTGCTGTAGGATCTTCTCAGAACTCAACAGTACAGAAATGCACCTGATCATCGTCCGGGGAATGAACCTCCCAGCGCCCCCAGGTAACCTCACACCTGCCCCTGCTCCGGGAAATTCCTGAGGAAGCTGGCCACTGGCTCTGACTCCAGCTCCCTTTCTCCATCCTAGGGGTGACCCCTGATGACCTGGATGCGTTTGTGCGGTTTGAGTTCCACTACCCTAACTCGGTGAGGTTCCAGTGCAGGAGGGATCTCTTCCTTGCCCAGGCTCTGCGCTGTCTCCCTGACCCAGGAGGGTCCAGGAGCCTTGGGCACGTTCCCAGTAGGGTTCTCTCCTCTTACTACTGACTTTTCCCAGAGTCCTTGGCCCTATAAGCCCTTTTTCTCAAACCACCCTGACTCCTGCCATCTCACTGATTTTTAGGATCAGGCTCAAAAAAGCAAAACAGCTGTGGTGAAGAACACAAACTCTCCAGGTAAAGTTCCTGCACAGGCAGAGCTCTGCAGGCCAAGCATATGCTTTGCATACTGGAGGGCAAGGTTCTCTCTCTGGCACCACATGGCCTCCTGAGCACCCATGTGTGACCCCCAAACAACACCCAAGTCCAAGTGGCTCTCAAAGGCCCGGACCAAGATGCTCTGCTGCCCTCTGGTGGCAGCCACTTGAGTTGCAGGGGAGGTCTGGCCTGGGCCTCCATTCCAGTTTCAACAGTTGCGCGGAGCCAATCCTCTTGTCTTCCCCACTTGTAGAGTTTGATCAGCTCTTCAAACTAAACATCAACCGAAACCACCGGGGCTTCAGGAGAGTGATTCAAAGCAAAGGAATCAAGTTTGAAATCTTCCACAAAGGGTGAGGGCCTTGTCAGTCATGTGTGCCCCGTGGGCTGGTGGTGTCCTCCCCGCACGGCTCCTGTCTTCCCCGTGCGCCTCAATGGTCTTCTGACTCTTGGCTCCCCAGATCCTTCTTCAGAAGCGACAAGCTGGTTGGCACAGCCCACCTGAAGCTCGAGCGCCTGGAGAATGAGTGCGAGATCCGAGAGATCGTGGAGGTGAGTGGAAGCAGCAGCCACTAGCACTGAACAGCAGTGACTCTTGTGGAGATTTCCCGTTAAAAATATCCCTAACTTTGTAAAATTCCTATTTCGCAAGAGGTTCTGCAATGTTCTAGGCCACTCAAGTCCCCAGGGGTGGTGAGGACAGTGGTCATGATTGTCGGATTCCGTGGCACAGGGACTGGGTCGGGGTGGGGGGCTGCTGTCTGGCCGAGAGAGCGGCTCTGGCCGTGCAGTTGACGAGATGTGTGAGGACCAGAACCCAGCAGGAACAGCACTGTGTGCCCCAGTGCCACACGCGGGGCTCTGCTGGCCTCTGACCACTCTGGACACTGAGATCTAGGCAGGACCCCACCCAGCGAGTCTGCGGGTGTGGTTCACAGTAGGGCCTGGGATCTGACCCTGCTGGGTGTGGTCTGCACGAGGCCGTCCTCAGCCCCTTGCCTGTGCAGGGCTGCACTGCAGCCTTCCTGGGCCGTGGCTGGTGCCAGAGCATTTCTTGGGCCATTGCCATGGCGACCCTGAGGAAACTGGATTGATGGCCAAGTTCCTCCTGCTCTCCCCTCCGAGCCTCTGGATGCCACCACTGCCAGCAGAAGAGCATGTGGCCATGCGTGCAGTGGAGACAGTCGGTACCTCACCTCCTGCAACAGCGGGCATTTCCCTCTGCTCCCTCACAGGTCCTGGAGGGAAGGAAGCCCACAGGGGGCAAGCTCGAGGTGAAGGTGAGGCTGCGGGAGCCCCTCAGCGGCCAGGACGTGCAGACGGTCACCGAGAACTGGCTGGTCCTGGAGCCCCGAGGCCTATGACGTGGGTAGCTCTGAGCCAGGCCTCGCCCCTCACTAGACCTGGGTGTTGGGGGCCCTCCCTTCTGCAGTCTCTCAGGCGTGCTCTGCACTGTGGCTGACCTATGCCTTGTCCCGCAGGCAGTGTCCGGCCCTGCAGTGTCGCACGGGCAGCTCTGTGCTCGCCCGGTTCTGCTGGCTGCCGAGGTGATGCTGCCGTCCAAGTGCCAGAGAGTGGGGCGCAGTGGCTCGGCTCCCCGCCCCTGGCCCAGCCTTGCTGGTGCCAGCTCTCCGGGACCTGCCCCGCAGCTGGCTGGATCCTAGGTGTCCCCACTCCCAACCCACCCGGTGATGGCAAGTACACTCTCACTGCTCTGTGCCATGTGGGGCTCCTAGCCCCGGTGCAGCGACGGTGGCAGCACCTCCCGTCCCTGCTGCGTCGTTTCTGGATGTGCCTTTGGAGCTGTAAGGGATGCAAGTGCCAGCATGGGGTTTGGAGACGCCTCCTGCACTGTGGCCCCAGCTGGCCCGTGGCGGCCAGTCCCCGCTGCTGTTCCCCGGCTCTGGCTGTGCCTGTGCCTTGGTTCCTGAAAGCTGCTGCATCAGCCTCTGCTTCCCACAGCGCTCTTTGAAGACAGACGTGACCCTCACATCTTGGATTTGGTCCCTGCACCTAAGACTCAAGACTGCTCGCTAGAGGGGGAAATACAGCTGTCTGACAGTTTGCACAGCCGTCTTTCTTTATTGAGGAAACTGGGTTTGAGTCACTGCTGGGTTTCAGCACACGCAGTGCCCATCACCACCCTGGCCCGGGCACAGAGCACCGCCATCGAGGTGGGGGTGGGGCGTGGGGGGCTGCTCTCGGGAGAGGCCGCTGACCTCACAGCCCAGCAGCCCCTACAGAAAGTCCCGCAGTGCTTTCCAGGAACACCTTAGGGTTTATTTTCCAGAATGGAGGGAGACATGAGGGATTTGTAGTTGCAACTGATTTAATATTCAAAACTGCAGAATTCTACATTTCTTAGAAATAAACTTGAACGACCCACCTTCCCCGCCCCTCTTTTTGAGGCATTAAATGAAGGTTCACAAAGCATTCCTTAAGATCGCTCTTGAAAGGCTGTAAGTGAAGGAAATACATTCAGCTTACTGGTCACTACAGTATTGCATAAGCAAGCTCAGGGGACGAGCTTCTGTGTCTTTTTGGGGGGTTAGGGCTGGACCATGCTTCCTTGCCCTTATGAGCAGAGCTTTTATTGGGTAACAGCAGGGATGACAAATGACTTTTTTCCTGAGAGCTTTCAGTCTTACTGATCTCAGTGACCTGCCATAGTTTCCACAGATTTGAGATATAACACTTAATTGCAGTCGCGTCTATGTGTCGAACAAACAGGAAAATTCAGAATGAAAGGAAGGCCTGTGAGCATTCCTGAGCAGCGTTCTTCAACCACCGGTCTGAGGCCAGGTGTCGGTCCACAGGTGCAGGAAGTGAAAACCATTGGGCCATTGCCATGGTCCTAATGCCAGGCCACAGTACCCAGCAGGACAGGTGCCTAGCAGTCTGCAGCTGCACACGGGTTGAGGGACGCTGGCCTAGAGGAAAGTAGCCAGGAGGGTCCTGACTCAAGCTAGTCCCCCACATGCCCTATACCCAAGAGACCTTGGGGCCTCTGCTTGTCTTTGAAAATTAAAGAAGACTTATTTTTTGGTGGGGGTGAGGGGTCCTCCCAGCTCTGTGTCAGGGATTGATCCCAGCAGCGAAACCCTGGCCTCCCATATGCAAAGCAAGCATGCACGCAGCCCACTGCGCTATCCTAGAAAGCTGCAACCATCTAGGCATGCCTACATTTGGGCCCCTTCAGGAATTATCTTTTTGCAGCTGGGTAGATTTTCTGTGGCCCCAAAGAACTCCCTTCACATCACTCTTCCATCACCCTGTAGGCTGTGGATGCCAGACCACGCCACCCACTGGAGCTGGAGGCTGTGCACTGCCAAGGTGCTCGCTGCAGCCAGGCCGGGTGTGTGGGGCCCAGCCATGGTGGGAGGAGCCTGCTCGAGCCACATCTGGTTCTAAGATTTGCCCAAATGAAACTCACCCAGCGAATCATTTGAAAATGTAAATTATCAGGGATGGAGCAGGAGTACAACAGATCGGGAACTTGCTTTGCTTACGGCCGACCCAGATTCGATCTCTGGAACCCCATCTGGTCCCGTGCCTGATCAGGAGTGTGAGCGCTGAGCTCTGCCGGGTGAGGCCCAAGTCCTGCGTCCCACCTCTCCCCCAGCCGTAAATTACTGAAAGGGAAACTTTCTGATATGGTCAACTAAATAAGACATGGGAGAAATATAAGACCCAGGAAATCATACAATCGGAGGAAAACCTTTTGCAACCCTGTTTTCTTGCAGCACCACTCTGAAACATAGTTGCTTCCAGATTTTGAAAGCTCATTTCCCAGACACAGGCAGCTCCTCCTAAGCTATCTCCCTTCTTAAGGAAAGGAGCTGCTTTACAGGATGGAACGGGAGAAGATAGTGGAGCTGGGGAGCTTGCATGTGGCCCAGCCCCATCAGATTCTCCCCTTGCTGGGCGTCGGTTTCCCAAAGCTCTCCTGGGCCTCTTGGTAGCCTGCGTGCCTTGACAAGGAAACAGTTCCATGATCATTAAGTTCGAAAACACTGTCACAAATTTACTGAAAATGTTCAGCGGATTATCTGAAGCAAATGCGTTTGATAAGAATTTGGTTTTAAGATAGGAAGTCAGGTAAAGAGCAGCTGCCTCTCTTATACGCAGCTCTATAGCTCTACATTCTAGAAAATTCTGTCATATGCCAGGTTCACAAGACGATACTCCTGAACAGTAAAGGATGTCTTGAGCAGCTAGGAGCAGAGCTGACCGCAAGGAGTCGGGCTTGAGGAGGAGAATCAAAACGCCCGCACGTACGGATCTAAAGGAAACGGGACAAGAGAGGCAGCCCCATCCACACTCATACTGCACCTAGAGTGAGCAGGACACCCAAATACCTGTCCCTGTTAGTGAGCGTTTCCTGCTCCTGTCAGATGAGTGATGATGCCGGACAGTCTTTCAAGCGCTGTTCTGTGGGCGCTTTTTCCCCTCTGAAGCTCTGACCATGAAGGGAGCGGCCACATCCCTGGTTCTCTGCAGCCGCCATCACCACAGCCAGTGACAGGGGAGGTCAAGTATGGGGCTCCCACTGCGAAAGAGGCCAGTCCTAGCCAGGCCCACGGCCTACTCAGAAAGCTGCTGCTGCCTAGATGTAGCCCCCATGGCCTGCTGAGTTCCCAGGGGACTGAGCCCCAGTGCCTGGCACAGATGCTCGATCACTGTCCTCCGGGACGGCATGCACATCCATAGGGTTCCGGTAACTGCTGCTCTCTTGAAGGAGAGCCACTCCTCCCTGTACGCGCTTCCAGAAAACACCACCAGCAGGAATGAGCTGCTTCAGAACAGTGAACAGATTTAACTTAAGGACTATGAGGTCCCTGTGGTCTGTGACCAAAATAATTTGGTTTGTTTTTATGGTGCTGGACTGAACCCAGGTCCTTCCACATGCCAGGTGAGTGAGTGACTCCCACGGAGCTCTCTCCCAGCCCTCCAAAACAGTACGGTCAGGACATGACAAATAACATGGGGAGGTGAAGGCCTGGTGTTCAACACTAGTTCCAGTAAAAGAAATCTAAGCTCCTTGGAGAAATTGCTGATTTCCAGGATGAGAGATCATCTGCCATGTTAAAAAAAAAAAATTCCCAAAGTGGTAGTATGGCAAAGGATACAGGAGGGCTCTTAAGGGGCTTCTTCTGGCAAAACGTAGGACATCTGAGCAACTTCAGCAATGCAGGGACGGGGGTGGGGGGGCTCAGTTAGTAGAGCACTTGCCTTACATGGATGAGACTCTGGATTAAATCCCTGACATCCCCCAAATGAAACAAAATAAAAACGCCCACCAGCCTCTCATGAAACTTAAATACACACAAAAACATGATCACCAAGAATAACTGGAAAAGGTGGAGAGAGGCTATAATTTGAAAATCAGTTTGTAGCTGTCAGTAAAAGCAACTCAGACAAGAACCATCCACTAATGCTAATCATTCTAAGGGGGAAATTTTGATAAGGAAAAGATTTGCATGAACTATGATCTCTACACATACTGTTTATTAGTTCCAAGGGGGAAAAGACAGCAGGGAGACTGGACAACACTTGGACCAGAGGAACTGGACGGGCCATCATCAGTTAGGTGCTGTGGCTGTCACAAAGGTCACAGCCTCACAAGGATTCCCACCGGAACATCTAAGCTAATTCCAGCTAGGATGACACCATCAAATTCAAAACGATGTGTTTCTATCTTTAAAGGGATTGGGGGGGGGGGGACCTACCATTACTAAAAATAGTGATGCGAAAGATAACAATGAGTTTTTCCAGCTATCTGCCATGTCTGACCTTAGGCTGAAGCTTTACTGGAGGGGGACATGCCTTGAAAGTCAGCCTGGACAAGCGGGAAAGTGCTCTCCGCAGCCAGCGTGGGGTGTGGCTCGTAGGGAGGGCAAGAGCCCGGAACAGCTTTCCCAGAAATAAGCACTCAAGCACTTGGGGGCAAAGGTCAATGCGACAAACACTCCAACGGCTCCACTGTTTCTGGAGAGAGGACAGTGATCAAGCAAGGGAGGCAGAAGTTAGCGTGTGGCCCGTCTGCAGGAAGTCCGGGCAAAGAGAGCATACCTTGGATTTTCTGTACTTGCAACTTTCCTGGAAGTTCATTCCCCACCTCCCCATTAAACTGTTCTTGAAATACTTGAAGTCTGCACTCTTAACTAAAATTGGGTGGATTCCGTCAGTTCAGTATCTGCCATTCACCTGTGTCCCCCGCTCTGGCTAGAAGAGAATCCCGTGGGTGTGGGATTCATTTCAGCCACAGTCTGGAGAAAGCCAACACCTTTGTGTGGCTTCTCCCTGGAGCAGTGTGCGGCCGGCGAGGAGCCTGGCGGGGACTTCTCCTCAGAGAATGCTGTACAAAGAGTGCAAGACTGATGCTTCGGATTTTATTTCCCCTCTGCCTCCCGCCCCTCCCCTGGCTGTGGGTGTACCCATTTGAACATTTCTGCGCATGTGACCATAAGTCTGGAAACGGAGGAGGAGCAGAATTCTCATCTAAATAGTAACAGAGGGGGTTAGCTGCGAAGATAGCGTAACTTTGTGCAGTAACAGAAGCTGCCCAGATCTTTTTGGTGGACGATGCATAGAAGACTTAGAATTATGGAACATCTGTCCCCCCAGCCCCCCTCTCCCAGCCCGATTCCCCACCTCCCACCCCCAACCCCCCCCCCATTAATAGTGTTAACAAAAGCTTAATGATCTTCCAGTTCTAAAGTGCAAATGGTTTGGGTGTGACTGCTGCTGCAAGAGGTCTGAACAGAAACCAATGACGTCCTCCTGTCTAGGCGATGTTTTCCAGGATATAGAAGATGAGTTCCATGACCACGGGGCCCTCACTCAGCTGGCAGGCCCCTCCGTGGATCACCGGCACCAGAGCACTGTCCAGGTCGTTCATGTACTGCGAGGGAAGGGGCTGCCCGTTGCTCCCTGCTTGATAGCCAACCTGCAGCACGGAGAGAAGGGGCAGTCACCAAACCCCCCCCCCCCCCAACTCCCCGCAGGAGCCAGGGCCCTGGCAGCCCAGCAGCTAGGGAGAGGGAAAAAGGCAGTGACCACAGAGTCCTCCCTGA